ATGCCCCCCAAATATCTGCTGGATGAAGGAATGAATGAATGAGAATAGATGAAGAAGTGATTGCGTGGAGATGTCTTCTGGCAGCGGAGGCTGATGACATTGTTCTCCGTCATGGCTGACCTCTGCCAACCTCTCCTACGCCCCCAAGGCGGGCCCTGGAACCACGGGAAGCCCAGATGCTATTTCTCCTCCTTCTTCCTTGTAGGGAAAAATCTGAGTCTTCTCCATTTGGGACGTGCCCATAGGGCCTCTCATACCACTGTGGTCCTTCTGATGCCAGTCCACACACACCCGTGGGGCCACTCCCTTCAGATGACCCTAGGCCCACCATCTTGGTCCTCCGTTTTGGGTCCAGTTGAGGTGAGGTTACTGTGTGGTAGGGGATGCCCAAGAAAGGGTTAAGTTGCCAGAAGCAGAGTCCCGCCCTTGGGATTGCTCAGCCAATCAGAGTCTGTCCTGATGAGGTAAAGCTTCTATCCTGGGTAGCATTGGTTGAGTTGGCCGGCCCCATCTCCTGCTGGAGAGAGCCATAAGGGTGGAGTTTCTGTGGAACCAGACAGAACTGGAATTAGCTCGCTGTCTACTAAGGCCAGGGCTGCCTGTCTCCAGGACCTGCCCCTGTTCCTTCCTAAGGTGCTCAGACAGACCCTGGCATCACCGGGGCCCCGCCTCTAGCTGACCAGTGGAGATGACAAGGCGTCACATCTGGGAGAAGTCTCAGAGCCAGAGCAGGCCCAGGAGGCCTCAGTTTCCCTGCCTGCACCCTGGAACACAGCAGGCAGTTACCAGGCAGTGACATGGAGCGATCATCCCATGCGCTCAGGGTAGCAGCATTCAGCTTCAATAAGCAAGGCCACTAGAAGAATCGTCCTAAATAAACATAGCTTTAAAATGGTAACAAAAGCAGCTAGTTCACAGAGTTCTTCTTGTGTGCACATGACATGAGCTTACTCGTCACGAGAACCCTGTTAATCCATCCACTTTACTGATGAAAAAACTGAGTCTCAGCAAGGCTCGGTGCCCCACCTGAGGTCACAAAGTGGTAAGAGTTTACACCTCCCATATCACTTGCCGTATCGTTCTTGAGCAATCCGTTGGCAGATCTGTCTCCGCCCCTGGACTGCGATCTCGCAAGGAAAGAACGTGGCAGATCCATCCGTGCATTCCCACCGTGGAGTCCAGGGAGTACCCCGAGAACGGAGCAGTCCCTGATGCCCTGCGCCCCTCGCCTACCTGATGGCTGTCGGAAGCCTAATCTCCTCAGAGCCTTCCTGTGGCCCAGGCCAGTGCTGTGCGTGTGGTGGGGGCTCAGTGGAGGGTCACAGAGTGGAGATGACGAATGTGTGGCCCAGACCCCACCAGACGGCTCTGAGGACGCAACAGGCACAGCCTTTAAAGCGTGGATCGCCATTCCCAGTCACCTCTGTCCAATGAAAGGAGAGTTCCATAGGACAGGTCCCATCCATCTCTGTGACCCCAAAGGATCTAACCTAGTGTCTGGCACAGAGGAGGCATTTGTTATGTGTATTTGATTGAATAACCAAAATAAGATGCACCTATTTGTCCCTACTGGCTCAGAACCTCAGTGGCCCCAGGTGGGATTACCTGTGAGTTATTCTAGATTAGAAGCATCCCAGCACTCCCCGTGGCGGGGAGTCTAGTAAAAGTTATCCAAGGCAGAAGAAAGGTAGGTTCCCTCCAGGAATAGATCCTGAAGCAAGTAGGCAGAGTTCTGATGAGAAAGAAGGGTGTGGTGAGTGGTGAGTGGAAGGAAGCTGGGTCTTAATTCTACAGAGAGAAGGGGAGCTCACACGGGCCGACCCAGGGCAGCCCCGTCCCTAACCGCGGGCACCTTAGAGGGAGCTGGAGAAAGGCAACAGAGCTCCCAGAGAAGGGGTTCAGGCCAGACACTGCCTGCCTCATTGTGTCCACACTGCCCCAGCTGGAGCCCCCCCCAACCCAGACAGCAACCCACAGGTACTCCGGGGACAGCACGGAAAGCCTGTGACTTCCCCAATGGACCCAGCCGCTACAGGCAGCTGAGTTCACAGCAATCCAGGCCTGGGGGAATCTGCAGGGCAGGGTTCCCTCATGGAGACTGCATGACCCCAGGCCCTCCATGATAATCTTCCATGGGAAGCTTTCAGGATAATCCCAAAGTTCAAAGAGCCAGAAAGAGCCACCTGACCCATGCCCGATCAGGACCACTGAGGAAGAAGCTGCCAGAGGCCACACACAGGTAGTGGCCCAGCTGCCTCTCTGTTGTTCTTGGAATCCATCTTCTTCCAATACCTCTGCCTTTCCCAACAAGCATTTCATGTTCGGGGCATCCCATTTATGGTTTGCAAATTTGGGAAGAACTCTGCATTCCTTGAGATGTGTGAAGGGTCCCCCATTCCAGGGTATCAGCAAACACTGTTGAACAGGGTTGAGAAGGGGCGGCATGGGACTCTGGGGAGTTCCCTTGCAAACCCCTCTTTCCCCAGAGAGGCATCTGAGTTAAGGCTGGGAGCAGCCTGGGGAAAGGCTTCCCCCATGTACAGCAGAAGGCGGAGCATTCTCAGAAAGAACAAAGAAAGGAAAGGCATTTAAAAAAAAAAAAAAAAAGCATGCTACTCAATCAGGACAAATTAATCAAGCAGGACTCTTTCTGCCTGAAAAGCAAGAAGCTGGGGCCTGAGCTCTGCCTGGTCTTCCCTCTTCTCTCTCCCTGGAGGTCAGCAACCTTAGCAGAAAGGCTGTGGCCCAGCCCTTGGCAAAGATGTTCACAGTCACCTCCGAGGCTGCCGGGACCTGGTGGAGCTGAGCACAGGTGGACGACCAGTGGGCCAGCTGGATGGCCACCAGGCCAAGTTGCTAAGGTTGCTAGAGCCCTCCTGGAACTCCATGGGCCTGGAGAAATCATACTTACCAGAATTTCTCTCGGGGAGCTTTTTGTAAGGGACCAGAAGGAATAAGTTGCTAAGACTCTTGAAGTGTGTATGGTGGGGGTGGGGGTGGGGGAGGTTGGGCTTGGGACCCCAAGGGGTCTGCCTGCCTAACAAAACATGGTTACATAACTCCCTTCTAAGGATGGTGGTCCAGTGGGGTACGTAGGGCTGCGCCAGGGTTTAGTTCTCAGGCAAGGAGGCAATTCTGAGGTTGTCCCAGTGCTCAGGCCCTCCTTCTTTACCCTTTTCCTACCCAACACACAGCTGCTCCATTAAACACACATTTAAAGAGTTTTGATTTGAAGAGGCGTCTAACTGTTGCCAGCCCAGGGCGCCCACAGGTCTCGGCGTGGCCCCGAAGCTGGGCCCCAAACTCTGGGGACCTTCCAGTGTCAGCCAGCCAAATCCATAGCCTGCAGTGCCCAGAGCCTGTCTCAGAAATGCAGACTACCGTCAGCCACTCAAACTGTCCTCCCAACCGAAGATGGACAGACTGCCCAAGGCACCGAGAAGACAGTTGCCAACACACTCCAGAGCCTGCAAACTCTGAAGTTGAAGCAGAAAGAACTCTTCCCCCCACACCAGAAGGAGCTAAGCCCAAAATATAAGAAAGCTGGGGGGCATGAGTTTAGTCATGGATCATCCCAGGGACCGCCCCAGTGAAGAGAATGGTCTGGTTTCTGACTGTGACCAAGCCAGGATCAAGGGTACAAGGCAGCCTACAGCCTCAGCAACAGGTCTCTGATCAGTAGAAGAACTGGACAATGGGAGGGTAGCCACAGGGTGCTGGGGCAGAGCTGGGGGCGGTGCACGCCCCACCGCTGTGGTTGAGCGAGCACCTGCTGCGTCCCAGGCAATGTGCCATGAACTGCGTATGCACCATCTCATTTAACTCTCCTGGCAACACTTCGGAGGAGGAACTGTTGTTCCCAGATGGAGGCACCAAAGCACTGAGTAGTCGAGTGACTTGCCCAAGGTCACACTGCCAGTCAGCGGTAGAGTGTGAGTCGAAGTCCGTGCCCTTCCCGCTCTCCCCCTTCATCAAAGTTACTCTTGCCTCTGGCTAGTATAAAACAAAATAACTTTCAAGTCTGAGATTACAGGAGCCTCAGACTGTTACTCCCTTCCTTCAGGACTAGCTGCTGGGCTGCTATCTACCACCACTGCTCCAGAGGAGGCTGCCCAGAAACCTCCTGCCCTTAGCAGGCCTGTCCCCGCAGCCCCCACCGTATGCCTGCCAAACACATGGGAAGAAGAAACAGGCCGGCAAGTTTACTGGCTGCCACTTGCTTTCATTCATCCTCTCCCCCTGAGCCAGCAGACCAACCACTCAGATCCTCCTGCAGCCAACCAGACCAAACCCCCAAATGGCCAACACTTTCACCAAAGAGAAGCCCCCCGCTTGACTCACAAATGGGAACTACAGCTGGGCCCGGTGGCTAGCATCCGGCTGACAAAGGGGAAGGCCGGGATCTGGCTCCTGTCCCATCCCCTCCACAGGCACCGGACCAGCTGCTTCAGGGCGCCCATCCCAGGTCAGCCTCAGCTGGGAGGTTCTAATCTTCCCTGATGCTCCAGCTGGCCAGCCCCCAGTCCCCAGCAAACTCCACTTGGTTCCACTTGGCTGTGGCCTGCAGCGAACTAGAAACAGCTTCCGCCACAGACATCACCTCCCAACGATGCCGGCCCTCAGCCAACATTAAACGCCCGTGTGCTACCCCTGGGCACGACCTACCGCATGGCAGAGGGGGACTCCATGCCAGGCGGCAGCAGCGGGCCAACCCAGATTCGACCTGGCCAGAGGCAAACCATTGAACAGAGCCGAGAAGCGATGGCCGTGCTCCCTTAGGCTCCGTCGCTCTACCTGAGCCATGCAAAACCCACCCGGTAGACCCCGTGAGACGCCAAGGGGGAGAGACACTCAAGCACGGGCCTCCCTGCCAAGAGCTTGTTGCTCAGATCCAAGTCCTAAGCTGGAGCTGGTCCCGAGCTCAATTTGGAGGCTTGCAGGTCCGGGCTGGGGCGGGGAAGCCAGGCAGCCAGGGCGGCGGCCACCGGCGAGGCCCTTACCTTGCTCTCCGGGGGCGAAGCCATCAGCTGTTGCTGCTTAGCGATGTTCTCCGACAGGCACCAGCACACTCTCTTCTTCTGCTCCTGCGAGTGCGCTTCCAAAGTGAATAAGCACTCTGCCTTCTGACGTCAGGGAAAACAGAGGAGAGGATGGTCAGGGCTGCTCCCTGGTTCAGGGGGCTCCCAGGCCCAAGCCCATCCCTGAGCTCCAGAGGGTGAGGCTGCAGCAGCGGGGGGGGAGGGGGGGCACTAAAAGCCACAAATGCACACTAATCCCCAGTGACATCGAGGCAGCCAGAGGAGCAAGGAAGCTGGTTCGGGGGCCAGCTGGCGAGCGAGCGGCATGTGCCCGCGGGTTGGGGTGGGGGAGGGGGGGAGGGTTAGCTCCCCACACAGTGGAGGCCTGTGGAGAGCCACAGGACAGAAATGGTGAGGTCACCCCCGGGGACAGGCAGCACAAGGCGGCAGCTGCAGGAGCACATGGGGAACCCAGAGGGCCAAGGTCTCCGGCCTGCTCACAGAGCCCCCCTCCCCCCACCTGGGCACACGATCTGATCACAAGGCCAAGGTTAGATGGGCAGCTGGACAGACATACCAAGAGAACTCAAACAGAAACTCAGGTCCCTTCTGAAAGTCTCATGCGGGCGTAGTCACGTGGCCCCTACAGCCACACGCGTGCCTGGCACCAGAGCTGGGTCCAACCCGGGCTCCTCAGCTCAGCCAAGTGCAAGGACAGGCTCCAGCACTAGCACTGCTGTCATTCCCATCTCGCTTTGCCATCTAACCTCGTTAAGTGCAGTCTCGTCTCCCCCAGCTAGACTAGAAAATCCTTCCAGGAAGGCCTTTCCCATCTAGGCCCAGCACAGTACTGGGCAAGTAATGGCCTTGGTAAGCTCCCGGAGGGGCTTCCGGGATGAGGTCAAAGCCAGGCCAGTTTTGGCATAAGCATCAGGGCTCTGCCAAGACCCAGGGAGGCGGCCGCGGGGAGTAGGAGCGTGCTGGGGGGAGGGGCGGGGGGGCGGTAGAGCATGCCCAGGGCTATCATCCACTCTAGAACACTCTGGTCAGGGGACTGCAGGCTCTTTCCAACTCCGCTGGAATTTGATTATAACCTCACAGGGCTGTGATTACATGAGCTCAGCCAGGGAGCTGAGAGCATGAGCTGGATGGCTTGGAACAGAGAAAAAGACAGTGTTTCTATGCAGTCCTTCCTTGTTTTGCAGTTGGACAGGCCTGGCTCAAATCCCAGCTTTGCCACTTCCTAGTGGTGCACCTTAGGAAAGCCTGTCGAATGGGAGTGGGAATGACATGACCCCCTCTCAGAGCTCCTGAGCCGGTAAGTCACAAGAACAATCGGAGGCCTCGACAGACAGCAGCTACCGTTGTTACTGCTCTGTACTTTGCTCATTTAATAAATAGTTATTGAGCGCCTACTACATGTCAGGGACTGTTCTAGCTCCTGGGGGTGAAGAAGCAAATAAGAGAGACTGAGCTCTGGCCCTCAGGTTGGGGAAGAGACAATAAACCAAGAAACAATGAAATAATATCATAACCAATTGGGAAAGGCCAAAACGGAGAGGTCCCGTCTGAGCCTGGTGGTCAGAGAAGGCCTCTCCGCAGGGGCAGCATTTGGGCGAAGGCCTGAACGATAAAGGCCAGCAAGGCAAGTGCTTGGGAGAAACTGTTCCAGGCAGAAGGAACAGCACATGCGAGGGCTCTGAGCTGAGATGGTTACCAGCATCATCAACTAGCATGTGGGGACATTCTCTATTCTGCTATCCCCCCGAACCCTAAGGGATGCCACCCTTCAGGGCGGGGCCAGCTCCCCTGCTAAGTGTTCCCAAGCGCGCCAGCCACTCTTCTCCTGCCCCAAAGTGCTCAGAAGCTGATCTTCCTAAAAGCATCAGAGGAGAGAGGGAAGAAATTGCCTCCCCTTGGCTTCAGGGAACTGGGCGGATATGGGGAGGCAATCCTCCCACTTAACAACAGATTCCCTCCACTTCTCAGAACTCCCAGCCTGCTGTAGGGGAAGGACAGGCCCAGCAAAAAAATACCCCAAGATTCCCCTGAGGGAAGCCAGGCAGGGCAGGAGCTGACCAGAGGGTCCTGGGCTCCCTGTCTCATCATGTTCCCCTGCCAGGTGAGGAGAGAGGCAAGGACCACGGTCCCTTCCAGCTTGGAAAGGCCATCTCTCCACAAAGCTGGTCCTGCCTCTACCTAGCTCTTTGGGCTTCAACAAATCCCTTAATCTCCTGGAGCCAAACCTCCCTTTTTCTTTCTGTGCCAAAGCAGGAATTCTGCCTTAATAATAATTCCTTTTATCTAACTATCCATTTTAAAGAGCACTTTCCTACCCATGCTCTCATTTTGTTCTTGACAATTGCATGAAGAGGTAGGGAGGTTCCTGGATGGTTACTCCCAATTCAAGGAAGGGGAAAACCAAGGCTCCAAGCAGCCAAGGGCCTCCTCCAGGCCCTTATTGCCAGTGAGCAGCAGAAGGAAGGCTCAAAGCCTTGCAGAAACACCCGTTGAGATTTCATCCCCCAAACCCGAGGCGCCCCGGGAGGCCCTGACTGGGCTGCTGCCGGCTGGCGGGAATGCTCCTCCTTGCAGAGTGGGCCCAAAGCGACCAGAGCACGAAAGCCTTCGAAGAGCTCAGTCAGCCAGCGGCTCGAAGGGCAGCCACAGAGCTCACTGGTAACGTCTTGTACTACTCAGCACTGCTCTGAGCTCTAGGATGGTGGCCGCCTCCTCACAGTTACAGGGCTACCAGCATCCTCATCTTGAGTCACCCCCCACCGACATGCCGTACCCCGCACAGTGCTAAGCACCTCACCAGTGGGGTCTCGATACTTCTTCCAACAACCTTGCAAGGTAGAAGCTGTGATTATCTCCATTTTACTGACACCCACAAGAACCACTTCCTCTCCCCTGCCCTGTGGATAATCTCTTTTTAGAAAGTCATATTTCTCTCTGCCTGGGATGGTGACCGTATGACCTGTCTCAACAGCAGAGTTCAGGGCTGAGTCTCTGGCTCTGAGAGCTTGAAGCTGAAAGCCCCATAATGCTAGGGAATCCAGAAGCCTTTTGAGCTACCAAAGACCTAAACCCAGGCCTGGCCCGGGGCCAGGGATTGGCTGTCTTAGATGGGCAAACATTTTGGGGAGGTCCTTGCTCCCTAGGCTCCTTTCTAGGAGATTTTGGAGGCTGGCCTGGTGAAGAGAGAAAGCACAGAACCAACTCCCTCCAGGGAAGCTGAACTCCCATCTGCACACATCTGTCCCAATCAGGGACCCCACTGCCTGCCTGACTGCTCTACATATGAAGGCTGTCTCTTAATCCCCCACGTGATCTAACTCACTGGTTTCAATGCCGTTGCACACCGTGCCCTCCTCTTACCAGGATCCAGGGCTGAGGCTGTAAGCAGCCTTGAAGGCATCCTCACGTAACTCACCCAGAGACAGGGCTCCTGATGGGGCAGCACTGGGCCTGGACCTCTGCATTCAAACATGAGCATCCTCAAATCCAACCAGAAACCCAGGTCCTCCTGGCCTCTTTAAAACCCCCATCTTGCCTCACGTCCTTGTTCCTAAATTAGTATTATCTTTATAGGAAATAAAACCCCTTCTGCTACTGTTTGTTCACTCGCCTTGACAAACCTTTAATTCTAATGACCTGATGACACAGGTAGGAAGGAAAGGCACAGCCGTTGAACCATTTTTCAGATGAGAACACTGAGGCTTGGAGATGCTAAGTCAGCGGCCCCAGGAGACCTCAGGAAAGGACAGTCAAAGTCTGTCTTCTGCCTCCTCCAGAGCCTGTAATCTTACCACATTTGTATAACTCTATATGTACAAGGAACATGAGATATTCTTCTTAGCTTTCTTTTAATTTTTTAATTTTTTATTTTATTTTATTATTTTTAAAGATTTTATTTATTTATTTGAGAGACAGAGAATGAGAGACAGAGAGCATGAGAGGGAGGAGGGTCAGAGGGAGAAGCAGATTCCCCGCCGAGCAGGGAGCCCGATGCGGGACCCGATCCCGGGACTCCAGGACCATGACCTGAGCCAAAGGCAGTCGCCCAACCAACTGAGCCACCCAGGCGCCCTTTAGCTTTCTTTTTAAAAGGTCAATAAATCATTGGTGATGTCTCTAATGGAGAATAAATGAATATGAAAAGCTCTCCCCCCATTATGAAGCTGACAATCATAATAACTTCCATTTATGGAACACTCACCGTGTGCCAGACTCTGTGCTAAGTGCTTTGGTCAGGGTATCTTATTGAATCTCATTTAATCATTACGACAGCCCTGCCAGGTAGGCCCCATCAGCCTTGTTTCAGAGAGGAGTATATGACTTGCCCAGACCTCTCAGTCAGGAAATGGCAGAGCTAAGATTCAAGTCTAGGTCTTCCTAACCCCAAAGCGCAAACTCTTCAATGAAGGGAGCGCAGGATCAGATTCTAAGAGACCGGTCCTTGACCAACATGCCCTTTTGTCCCAGGGACCCCGGTGCTCTCGAGCCAGGAGGGAGCTGCGTCTGCCCCTGGGCTCCCAGGGGCTGAGGGATACCTGTCCAGGAGAACAGAGACTCCAGGGCCGAGCACTATTTAGGACAATCCCACCCAGGACCTACTGCTGGGAAACACCCAAAGCTGGGGCCGCCCAGCCAACTGAGGCTTTCTGAATGTAGTGGGAAAAATCCCTCAAACTCCTGACTCTCTTGCCCCACTTTCTTTTTTGGGTGCCACCTGTATGTTAGACAATGAAGATACACCGCTTGTCAGAAGGTCCCGTGAAGGGCGCCTGGGTGGCTCAGTCGTTAAGTGTCTGCCTTTGGCTCAGGTCATGATCCCAGGGTCCTGGGATTGAGTCCCACATCGGGCTCCTTGCTCAGCGGGGAGTCCGGTTCTCCCTCTCCCACTCCCCCTGCTTGTGTCCCCTCTCTCACTGTGTCTCTGTCGAATAAATAAATAAAATCTTTAAAAAAAAAAAAGAAGGTCCCATGAAGATGTGAGTTTGGGGTTCCCATGGGATCCCAGACCATCGTGTGGAGCCTCTGTGGGGCTACAGAGCAAGCAGGCACCCTGGCTTCCTGTTACAGACGTGCCTCTCCCCACAGCCTCTTAGGAGAAAAGAGAGGCCTCTGGCTGCCTGTGAGCTCCCATCTCCCAGCCCCTTTGGGTCAGAACTCCTGGCACTTATAACTGAAATAAAAGGCCCTGGATCAATATCCCTTCAGCAATCTTTGGAGAGTGGGGAGGTCACAGCTCCCTGGAAGCCAATAAGCAGAAGTGCTTTTCTCTGGGCCAAACAAACCAGCCCGGCCGGAAGCTCTCCTGGCATTAAAGAACCTGGAGCTTCATCTCAGGCCCTGCCAGTTCACAGCTGCTAGGCTGTTTGCTGGGCGCTGTGGAACTGAATCCCCACTGGCTCTGCAGGGCCTCTAACAGCTGCTTCCTGGGCCTGGTGGAGGTGTGCCCACACGGGGGAAGACATCCGATGCCTTCCTGGCCCTCGGGTCGCCACTGGAGGCAGCCGCTGAGCGGGGAGCCCAATGTGGGACTCGATCCCAGGACCCCAGAATCATGACTTGAGCCAAAGGCAGACACTTCACTGACTGAGCCATTCAGGCACCCCCCTTCTAGGCACTTCTGTGTCCACTGCTCCTCCACACAGAGGTGAGAGGCACTGAGGCGGGGACCGCTGTCCCCATTCCACAGGGCAGGAGCCCTGCCCAGGACCACGGTATGAGCCTGGCCCCAGAGCCCTGGACTAGACCAGGATCAATGTCTTCCCACTAGCACCAGGCCACAGAGCTCTCTCCTCAGATCCAGAGGCAAGGACTCACCTCTGCTAGATACAGCACACAGAATTTCAGGTCTTCTGAAGAACCTTGGAGGGAACAAAAAGTAAGACTTGTGTTAGAGTCGGCTCCAGAGTCTAAGCAGCTTGCCCCAGCACCGCCAACTGCCTCACCCAGAAGCCCGTATGTGGTACCTCTTGGAAAAAGAGGAAGAAAGAGGCAGGCACAGGGGACAGGGAAATCTCTGGAGGAAAGCCCACTTAGTAACTAAGCAGATGGAGACACAGCCACAAGGCCTTGGCCCACAGGTCAGCGTCACCCAAGGAATGCTATGGTCCCACCCCCATGACAGGTAGCCAGGAGCACCTCTGGGCATCAAACAGCCAGGGGCAGGGAGCTGTCGTCCATCTCAAAAGGCCTCCATCTTTCCATGCTCCCTGACATGAGGGACACGGAAGGACACAGAGATAGCACACGTCTGGGTTTTCCTTTAAATGCTCCCAACTGCCTTCGCCATTTTTTTTTTTTTTAAGATTTTATTTATTTATTCATGAGAGACAGAGAGAGAGAGAGAAGCAGGCTCCCTGCAGAGCAGGGAGCCCGATGCGGGACTCGATCCCAGGACCCTGGGATCATGACCTGAGCCGAAGGCAGACGCTTAACCATCTGAGCCACCCAGGCGCCCCTCGCCATTTTGAAGTTCAACAAGGAGCCGCTTACTTGCTGGATGGACCTAGGAAGGTGTGGGCTATGCAGCGAGATCCCCAGTCATGGGCTAGATGGTGCCCACAGATGGCTTCCCAGCCCGGGGCCCAGCCCCTTGGTGTGTCTTCCTAGGGCCCTGGTCTCGAATCCCAAATTCACCCATTCTCCACCTCTCCGCTGGGGAGGCGGCTGGGAGGGAGCGTCAGGCTCCCTGCTCCTCCAGCAGAGGAGTGAAGGCGGAATAGCTACAGAAGCTGTATGTGGTCAGACTGCTTCAGAAAGACCAAGACCGAGACATGACCCCTGGATGCTGGGGAAGGCTTCTTGCAGGAGGATCATTTTGAACATAAACGCAAGATGGGAAGAAAGGACACTTCCAGGAGGTGGGAACAGCACAGGGAAAGGCAGGGAAGTGCAGAAGCACAAGGTGTGGTTCGAGGACCAGCAAGCATGCGGAAGAAGCCCTGCCCCTTCCCTGACCATCAAGGGCTGCTCCTCAGAACCTGGCATCCCTCCCCACTGGGCCTCATTCTTCTGGGCACAGACCAGGGATGGTTCGTAATTTCCTGAATTTCAAGCAGTTGACCTCACTGGGCAGGTTACCAGTCCTTTCCAAGAGAAACCACCACACCACCTGTAGAAAAACCACACACACACTGTGCCACATGCTGGCTGTGTATAAGCTCAACCCTTCCAAAACAACTCCTAGGACGCAGCGGCTATTATCATCCCTGATTCATGTGAGGAAACTGGGGCGCAACACACATTTGAATCAAAGAAATTGTCCAATAAACCAAAATGCATCGCAAAGTAAAGGTGACAAAGTAACAGAGACAATGGGTCAAGCCAATTCCTAAGAAAAGTGGTGAGTGAAGGCCCTCATGTGGGTGAAGGCCAGCCCCGAAGCAAGCATGTGGGCAGTTCCCTGCGCAAAACGAGGGCCAGGGGTGCCAGCAAGATCCAGAGAAAAACAGGCCAATAGTAAGTGGGGGGGTTCACTCTGGACTTAGAAGAAATTCTTCTACTTCTCCCCACCTACAGGAGGGTTGGGAGGGAGAGGGTCCCACCTAAGAAGTCCATCATGTTTGAGAAACCTCTCGTTTGGAAGCTTCTGCCAACTCCCTGCCTTGCTGAGGGTGGAGACAAGGGGAGGTGGTTTCTTTTGTTTAAGAAAACATACTGGATGTCTCCTTGACTTTCCAGAAGCAGATCTTAGTGCCAAGGGAGAAACAAAAAGATCTATGTAAGAAAATAACAGAAATGTGGGTTTTAGAAGCTGGCAGTGAGAGAAAAGAAGGCTCTAGAAGGGAGGGGAAAGCCAAGGAGAGGGAAGCCTCAGGGAGACAGGAGGCAGAGGTTGGGGGAAACTCAGCCTATGACATATTCCCGATGGCACGGGGTAGTTGACGATTGCTTGACAACTTTCCTGGGCTGTGACACCCCTGCCACCACCCTCCCACATTAACCCTAACCCCCGCCCCCAAATCTGCTCCACATCACGGCCTTGTGCTGGCAGTACTTTGAGAGAAGGACGGAACGGGGGCAGTGCTCAGCATGGCTCAGAGCCTCATAAAGGGACAGCAAGCCTCGGGAGCCCAGGGTGCCAGGAAGGAGCCACGGCTGCTGAACAACGGGCTGCAAGGTGGCTGACCCAGGCGAGCAACCTCACCCCCTCAGAAACCCTTCTGGGACATTAGACTGGGCTCTGGGCTTTCCAGAGTGTGGAAACAGGGGGGTGAGTAAAAAGGGACATGGAAGCAGCACACATTTGGGTTTTCCATCCCACACTCCAACTGCCTTCACCATTTTGAAATTCCACACCAAGTCACCAGCTCCTGGGTGAACCCTGCTTCCTACCAAGGGCTGTGGGCTGTGCAGAGAGAGTCCCAGAGGCCCAGAGATGGCTTCCCCACCCAAGTCTGACCCCTCTGTCATGTTCCCAGAGCCCTCTCCAGCCTGGCCTGAGGTCCCAAACTCAGCCATTGGCCAAGCCCTCCCTATGCTGTGTGACAAGCCAGGGGACGTGTTGTTCCCGTTTTCCAGTTGTAGAAACTGAGACCCTGGGAGAAAAAACAACTTGTACAGGCATGCCGTGAGTGAGGGGCAGCGCTGAGATTTGAACCCAGGATGGCTACCTCTAAAGCCCGTGTTCTGACCACTGGGTCCCATTTCTGCCCCCCCCCCCCCCCCCCGGTTTCTGAATCTGCATGCCACCAGACTTGGCACTCCCACTCTAGAGGTGGGAACGTGTCTCTCCCCCTGCTATCGCCCTGGCAGCAAGCGTTCAGGTGGGCTCTAAGGATGTACTCAGCAAATGTCAACTGACAAAATTTAAGTCCAAGCATTACAGCAGCTGGGACCTAAGCCGCTGAGTTTCCAAGACTGGGCACCTGGCTCCCCGGGGTGGATGGAGAGCCCAAGAATCAGCTGGACATTTCCAGGCCATCCTGAGAGACCAGAGCAGGCCAGGAAGACACCCTGTGGGCGGGATGCTGGCCGCCTGGGAGGGAGAAACACAAAGACCAGCACAGCCAGTGGGCGGCAGAGACAGGAAGAGGCCACAATGGGCCCCGGACGACCGGAGATGTCCCAATTGTTAGCGTGAGCTCTCCGCCTGTTCCCATTACGCTGCCATTCAGACCTGCTGAAGCTGGGGGGATGCCGGGCAGGAGGAGGGCCAGCAAGGTTTATGTGGCCACCACCAGCTGGGAGCTGTGGAGAAGGGTGCTTCCAGCCCCCAAGCTGGTCAGTGCTTCTAGTCTCCTAGTCAGTCATGCATTCATTCAGCCAACCAACATTCACTGGGCACCCACAATGTTCTGTGCCTCATGTAAGGCCCCGGAGGACGCTTGGCCAGAGAGCTAAGCTCCATTCAGGCAAGTCACACACGGGAGTCATCAGTCCCCGGGTGAGGTAGATTCTCCCCTGCTGGGAGAAAAGCCCTCACCAGCCCCAGCCCACAGGAAAGGCCGCGTGTGCTCCTCGTTCCCATCTTCTCTGCCCCAAACGGAACTTTCCAAACATGCTGACTTGAAAAGGACACACCTGAGAGGCATGAGCAACACTCATCAGAGCCCATTCTGCCAAGAGAAGCTTCAGTTGAGGCCCCACATGGATCTCTTAAAAGCCTCACTAGGGCCCTCGCTGCTGCGGCAGGTATCTGGGGGTGCCAGGGAGACGGGCCGGAAGCTGAGCACCAGGACCCAGGACACTGGGTCCCACAGTTCCAACTCCCGACTACAGGAGAAGGGGACATGGGACTTCTGCAAACCCCAGGACCCACAAGCCTGTCTCAGGGGAGCGGAGGCAGGGGAGGAAGCAGGGGCCCTACTGATGCCTGGAGGAAAACCTAAAGGATGGGACATGCACCTGAGTGCTTAGTGTCACTGAGCCACGTCCCTGGGGAGCCATGTTCAGTTTGCTGGCTGACACTGCCGGAGAAGGGCAAGACAATGCATCTGCACCAAACCATCTGCACCAAACCGTCCCAGCAAGTCCAGGATACGTGCATACTTGCATACACAACCCTCACACTCAAGCCAACCCCGTAGGCTCGGATGGCCGTGGTCATCTCTCCTGAGGAGTGCTGGCCTTGGCCACCCTCTGCAGGGAGAGGATGTGGTCTCCAGCTCAGGAAGCCATGCCTGCACAAGGCTGTTGCTCACATGAGCTCAGCATCTGGAAGGTTTCTCTGCAACACCTCAGACCCCACACCAGCCACTCTGACCAGCCGCCACCCAATGGAAGACGGAGCTCACACTGACTCTAACTTCAAGGCTTGGGTCTGAGGGCTCCAGGAGGGGAAGATCCAAGCAGTTCCCGGCCGAGCCCCCCACCCCACCCCAAGGAGTAGAGGTAGGACATTTGGGCACTGTCCCGCATCTCATGACCCTCAGGCTCCGTGTGGGGATGTTAGGGTTGGGAAAGAACATGAAGGGCTGGCCCAACCTGTCTTTCACAGTCTGAGACACCAGAGCCCAGATAATGGAGAGGGCCAGCTAAAGTCACACTGGCTCTCCATGCCCGGACCCCAAACTCCCAGCTACTACCCTCAGCTCTTCCACCCCAAGCCCCTCTGCAAAGCACAGCCAGTTTGAGCCCCTCTTCTCTGTCCTCCCTCCTTCTAGCAGGAGGCTGAGCAGATGAGGGTTCTGGGCTTGTGGCCCCAGACCTGAGTGATGAACGTGATGAGCACAACTGAGTAAGGGTTCGGTTCCTATAATCAGTCAACACATATTACCGATCACCCCACCCCTGCCTGGGTCCCGAGTGTCTAAGCTGGGGTGGGCAGGCCCAGAGAGGAAGGGACTACACAGTGTGAGTGTGTGTGTGAGTAGGTGTGCGGGGGGTGGCAGGGAGAGGAGAACGGGGCTGCAGGGGAAGCTGGTTCTGAGGGAAACCGGGAGGGGCAGGGAAGCCCAGGGCAGAGTCCGCTGTAGCTCTCACCTGCCCCCTCCTGTGGGCACCGGGGAGCCAGGGTCAGAGCTGAATCTGCTCAGAGGGGCTGCTCCCCGCCACCCCGAGGGAGGGGCCAGCCCCCAGACAGGTGACTTGCTTTTTCCCCTCAGGGGCCATCCTGGTCGGTGGGCAGGAGAAAGTTCGAGGCAGAGAAGGAGACGTTGTAAGTGACTCCCTGTGGGGCAGCCAGAGTGGAGGTTCTCACACTCCCTGGGTTTCTAAGGAGGGAGCACGGCGGGGGCGCCCAACACACAGGAACACAGGACGGGTCTGCAAACAGGCAGGAAGTTTTCCTGGAGCAAAACCCGTCAAAACAGAATTCTTTCGCCGGGTAATATTTTCCTCTCTGCCCCTGTCGCCCATGCTCAAACAGATCTGTTGTTGTTTTCATAATCTGGGAGAGGAAATCAAGCCCGTTCAGCAGAGACTTCAGGCGCCAAACCAAACCGCTCAGCAGATACTCCCAGCTGGCTTCCCGTTCCCCAGTGGCGGAGGCACCGTGGAAAGTTTGCGGGAGACACTGGCTTCAGGCTCCGCCACACCCCAGCTCCGCGGTACAGCCGGGAGGGCCAGGAGCAGCGCGCTCGGGCCCAGGGTATGTGCGGTGAGAGGGCCGGCAGCCGGCTGGCGCGGGGCACCCGGTGTGGGCCGGGCCCTCTGCATACGACCTTACTGAATCTGTACACCACCTATCGGGAGCCCCACTCACACGTGAGCCAACAGGCTCAAAGCAGTTGAGTAGGATGTGCCCAAGATCACAGGTGGTGAGGGGCAGGGCCAAGATCGAAACACGTGTCGCTCGGAGCCCAAAGCTCTTCCCGCTCCACTCCACCGCCTCCCTGAAACGGGTCTGGAACAGAAACATCCCAGTAACGCTCAGGGCATACAGCCTAGCACAGAATGCCCGTGCCCGAGAGCCCTGCGGCCCCTGGGAGGCTGGACTTGACCCGAGCACACATGCTCAGATGCCCCACTGATGGCTGGCAGCCCGGCCGCCGGAGGGGCAGAATCCAAACCGGGCAGCACGGATGTGGGCCTCGGGGCAAGCAGGCGGGAGTCCAGGGCACCTCTGGGGCACACGCTTACCTTCCTGTAGCTTCACACTCTGGAGGTAGAGGGGGTTCCTCAGGACGTTGCAGCGGCCCGGCTCATCCTCCTTGGTGAAGAGCAGCAGGTCCGAGTAGGCAAAGAGCGTCACCTGCATCACGACAGAGCACGCTGAACCAGCTGCTCTGCTGGCCCAGAGCCCAGGAGCCACAACCTCCCTGGGAGGTCCAGGTAAGGCGTCCTCGTCATGTCGGGCAGAGCGAGGGTCAGACTCTCAGTGTGGCCTCCGCCAAGGACAGAGAAGCGATCTGCAACCAGGACCTCCCCTTTGCGCTACAGTTTTCTATGCCTCCACTCTTGATCACAGCGGGCGGAAGGGGGGCCGGGGGATAGGATAAAATCCGACCCTCACCTTCCACGGCAGGTGGCCCCTGCAGGCCTCTCCACGGCCCACCCCCAGCCAGGCCATCTTCCTGACTACACGCCCCTGGAATCTCCAGCCCAGCACCGCTGGCTGGGCGCCACCCTCAAGCTGCGGGATGTTGGCCCATTTGCTTGTATTCTCCTCTAAACGTCTGGCTGAAAGAGCACTGCCCTTGGAGTCAGAAGTCCTGACGCTTCCCACTGGGGAGCCACGAACACGTGGTTAGGGTCCCCGAACCCTCAGCTTTGGTTTTCTCGTCTCTACGGACCGGGGAGCATCCCTGCCCAGGTCTCTCACAGACTTCTTTCACGAACCCCATGTAGACTGTGAACTGAAGCACTGTGCAGTGTGAGGTCTTATTATCACATTCCTCGAGGATAATTTTAACTGCATTAATGCAAGATTGGTCTGAGAAAAAGCCAGTTACTTCCGCTCCAAAACAGACATGTATGGAACTCGTATCTCTTTTATGCATATATATAGCCACTCCAAAAATAAAAGGAGAATGCTATTTTTAGACATTACAGGTAAACCAACAGGCATGCTCAGCATAGTTTCATGCTAAAAAAAAATCCACTTGATCCCGTAATGCCACTAAAGATTACACTGTTCTTTGTTTTGTAAATCCTGCAGTGGTCTTTAGTTAAAAGCAATGAAATCCAATTTTAGATTCTCCAAAGAAAACAAAGTGTTATTAATTATGTGAACTTCCCTGTGAGGTGTCAAACCTGACGCTTCATCCCTTCTGAGGTAAGAAGAGTCAGCCAGAGGGCTTGGCGTGCACCCCCAAAGGCCACAGCGAGTGTGTGCGGGATGGTTGCTCAAGTTTCAAAAGTTAACATGGTGACGTTTAGCTCTCCAGCTGTTAAGATGACCTGACAACTCCACCTCTACGAAACTGTAAGGATGTTCTCAACAGCATCTTTGTGATAAAAAAAGAAAAGAACACAGATGTCCATCAACAGAGGATGGATAAAATAAATTATCTTCATATGGTAGAATTTTATGCAACTATTAAAAGAATAAAGTAAAGCTCTGTGGACAGAAATGCGGGCAGAAATCTGCCCACAGAGTGCCCGCATTGCACTATGTAAGCCAAAGAGTGCAATGTGCAAAAATGCCTACAACATAATCCAATTTTGTAAAATAAAACTGTAAATGTGTACATTTTTTAAATGTCTAAGATACCACACTCTTCGCTGGGGAGCAGAATTTCACTTCCTATATTTCTGTTTAATTTGCATTGTATGACAAGAGAGTCTATTAGTTTTGTGATTAAAAATATATACATATTTTTCAAAGGACCCCTTGACACCTTGAGCACAGTGCAGAGAAGTTTGAAGGAAGGAAGCTGGGCCACAGGGATAATAGGGGTGTCCTGGAGCAGGAGGCTCTCAGGGGCCCTAGCTTCTCCAAGGGGGACCAAACACAAGAGCTCCGGAACCGTGGGCTGGGAGGGATCCTGGCAGTGACTCTCTCCAGACCCCTTCCAAACCACAGTCCTGACCCAACAGAGCCTAAAAGAAGTCCCCATCTGTTAAGTTCTTTCTTTCTGCTCAGTGGATTCTTACTTGTAAATAACATCACTGCCTTCATTTATAGATGGGGACCCTGCAGCTCAGAGAGGTTAAGTGACCTGTCCAAGGCCACACAGCCAGGGACATTGCCCAGGTCTGGCTGACCCCAAAGCTCCCCTAATATGGAGAGGTAGCAAGAAGCCTACAGCTGTCCTGCCCCTGAATGTGAAAGAATCCAAGCAGGGACCAAAACAGAAAAGCAAAGGAGACCCAAAGTAAAGCTAAGGGAGGGGAAGAAAATGATCTGAGAGCTGAGAAGGATCTGAGGGGTTGACTCTCTGAGCAAACCTGCAGGCTTTCCCACTCAGAAGAAATCTGGCGGTCACCTCCGGACCCATAGGGAAGCTGGCCAGGGAAGGGTCGGCGGGGGGCAGGCTGTCAGGAACGTAAAATGTCAAAAAATGTCCCAGCCTCCAAGAGAGCTAGGTGGATGGCAACCAGGGAAGACCATGGGCAAGGTGAGAAAAGCTGCAGGCCACCGCTCTGGCCCCAATTCCCAGAGCTGAGAATGTGGTCTAGACAGGAAGTGATTAAGGCATGAATGAAGAATTTCCCGAGGGTCGGGTCAGGGAAAGGACAGAGATGGCACACAGCTGGAGGCAGGGCAGAGGGGCAAGCGTGCCAGGTGGGCCCCTCTCCCTTGTCACCAGCATCCAGAAGGAGCTGCAGCGGCCCACAGGGGAGTGATGCCCATCTCCAAGGCCCAGTTACCTGCTGACTTCCACAACAGGCCATGGGAGCCGCCAGGTATCTTCCCCACACCTGCTCCAAGGATACATCTGCTTTCCCAGAGGCTCAAGGGTTTTGCTTGGTTAGGAAATCCTTGCAACTTGGAGGTTCACTTCTCCCAGGTAGCCCTAACTGAGCTTTCTCTGGAGATCTTGCCTAAAGGCAGACCTTGGTGCCTTAGTTAATGGTAAACTCAGTGAGTCAGTGCATAAAGTAAGGGTGTGTCTATCTTGTGCCCCATAGTTCCCCTGTGACCTTGAGTGCAGGGCCTGGCTACATGGTAGATACTCAACAGCTATTGTTCGAACATGTAAGCGAGGCTCCGCCATAATGCTGATTTGATCTCAGGGCACGTTACTCAAGTGTGTGACTTCTGGGAGGGGGTATGATGTGGGGCAGCCCAGTGTGAGACTGCATCAGCTCACAGACATTAGCCAACTGGAGCATGCTCGGAGAAGAGATGGGAAGAAGAACAAGGGGAGAACATTCCAGGAATAAAGATTTCTGTTACGGGTAAGGGAGAACTTTCGACAATTTAGCCCTCTCCAAGTAACAAAACCTATGCCTGGAGGGGCTGCCTCTGCAGATCAAAAACTGGCTGGAAAACCTTCAGCTGGAAAGTTACAGAGAAGCAGTCAGAACGGACGACTTCAGAGGGCCCAACCAATACTGCAATCCTACAAACTTATCCAAGTACCTCTTGAATTGGTTCATATTTTTGACCTGAAGGTACCAAGATCCATGTACTGGCTTCCCAGCATATTTCATGAAAAAGAAATATATTGGGGCACCTGGGTGGCTTAGATGGTTCAGCGTCTGCCTTCAGCTCAGGTCATGATCCCAGGGTCCTGGGATCGAGCCCCACATCGGGCTCCTGGCTCAGCGAGGAGCCTGCTTCTCCCTCTCCCTCTGCCTCTCTCTCTGCTCATGCTTTCTCTCTCTCTCTGTATCTCTGTGTCTCAAATGAATAAATAAAATCTTAAAAAAAAAAGAAAAAAGAAAAAAGAAAAAGAAATATATTTACTTTGTCTTCAAATCACTTCCTTCAATCCTCAAAAGGGATATCTTAATTCTAAGACTCCAAAGATCCACTAAACAAAGATTTTTTGGACAGATTGTAAATATAATCAGGCTATGGCTCCAGTCTGTGCTTGCCAGTCTGTTTTTCAACAAACATGCCAGAGGCAGCGTGAGAAAGCAGTGCTGAGCCAGAGATCCAACTGCTAAAGTTGGCTCTGTCCCTAATGAGCCTTGAGACCCTTGGGTTCCAGTTAATCTCACTGGAGCCTCAGCTTCCTCATCTGTAGAATGGGGACAACCGGGCCTCTCATGAGGATGCTGCAGGAGCTAATTTAAGATCTACTATGTAAAATGCATGCACCGTGAGAATACACAGCAAGTGCTCGGTGTTTGAGCACCTAATGGTGAGAGGACAAACAAAAGAGCAAATTTAGGCAGACGTGTGTATTTCAGGATTGCTGCCATTTCTGCCTTCTTCTGGGTCTTGTGAATTTGTAGCCACACCTCACTTTCTGACCCTTGGCCACCTGACTTAGCTCCATCACACACTTACTCATCAAGCCCAGCTCCAAGAGACTTCTTGTTCCTAAAACTCAAACCACCCCACCAAGATGAAGTTTTACTCTCTCAGAGGCAACTCAGAAGATATGCCAAAGTTCCTAAGAAAGCTCCTCAAGAGGAAGTCCAGAAATGTAGTGAGCAATGCCCATGGGGTAGAAATAAGCATGCGGTCTCCCCGGGGAGAAAGAGAGAATGCTCCTTTGCAACACACGAGTTCTGGTCCCCTTGTCGAGAAAAAACAAAAGCAGCCTCCTGCTTAGCCACAATTACACAGAAGGTCGCAGAACGCTGAGGCTGAACGGGCCCTTAGAGATCAGCTAACCTCAGCTGCCTCAAAGACACACACTACCACTGGCTCAGAGGAGAACAAACCAGATCATTGCACTACCCACAAGCTGCCACTCAGCTCAGCCAAGCCCCACGGCCGGCCTGATGAGCAGCAAGCCCCCAGATAGGCCAGTCAGATCCCAGGGCTCCAACTTTGGTGCCAAGTAGATTTCACAGGCCCGAGCCAACTCTGGGGATTGTGGGGGGAGGGAAATTCCCCCAGTTAGAGATGAACAGAGGCCAGCTCCCAGGCAGAACGGCGTGATCTCCACACCCAGGCCTCTGCTGGCAGAGCGAGAGCCCAGAAGAAATCACAGACTTACTCCTTAGAAGAGGATTTGGGATTTGGGTAAATACAGACCTGGAAAACCTGAGTAACTGACGCTCCTTCAAAAATTCTCTTTGGCTAGGGGCGCCTGGGTGGCTCAGTTGGTTAAGCGACTGCCTTCGGCTCAGGTCATGATCCTGGAGTCCCGGGATCGAGTCCCGCATCGGGCTCCCTGCTCGGCGGGGGGTCTGCTTCTCCCTCTGACCCGCTTCCCTCTCGTGCTCTCTGTCTCTCATTCTCTCTCTCAAATAAATAAATAAAATCTTTAAAAAAAAAAAATTCTCTTTGGCTAATAGCTCCAATCTTCTTACCTACGAAGTCATTCATCACAGCCAGGGTAAACTACCACCTCTCCTGCTCCTTAGAGGAAGTTGGGATAAACAATGCGATGTCTTGTGGGGCTGGGGAAACTTTCTAACCATCAAAGATGGACTAAACAGCTTTGAGAGGTGGTGAGCTCCCCATCACTGGAAATGTACAAAAACAAGATGGGTAGCCATTTGGTAAGGAGGGGGATGGACGGGGATGGAGGTGGAAGACTTCAGGATTTTTCTACCCTGAGACTGTACAATTCTAAGACCATGAGGAAGAGAAAAGTTAGGGGCCTGGAGGATGTCGGTGAAGCCACACGTGTAAGCCTTACCTCAACAGCCTTGTTCCTCCCCTCGTATAGCCGCAGCTCCTCAGACAACAGGAGAGTCCGGGCAGGGTTACAGAGATCTAAAGGCTGAACACAACGCAGGCAGTTCAGAGAGGCCCAGTGGAGATGGGGTGTGGGGGGAGGCAGCTTGCCAGAGCCAGCCACAGAGAACCCTCTCGACTGACTGAAAGAAGCCTCCAGCACCACGCCCCCCCCCACCCCTGAGAGCCCACACGCCCCCTCACACACAGGTGGAAACAGAAAGACAGATGCTCTTGTCCTGGCCGGAACTGTCGCTGCCACCTTCCCCACCAAGCCCCACTGTAAGAGCCAGGCTCTGGCAGGAAGTCCAACCACACGTTTAGGCACTCACAGACCTCCCCCAAGCTCCCCGACTCCGCTGGGCTCCGGGGGGCCCCCCCAGCCCCCACTCTCCTCCATCTGTCCCATTCCAGCCTCACGGGGAAAGTCCCTGCTGCCAGGCCCCAGATCCTGAGAGCCTCATGCCAGATATGGTCACTTTGGTCCCTTCAGAGCCAGGCCGGTCCCTGCTCTACATGCATAACATGCTTGAGTTAAGGGACTCCTTCCCAGCAAGCAGTCCCCAGGGACCAATTCTCACCCAAACTTCTCACCCACCCTATCATCCTCCCCCGTCCCCGCTCAGGAGCCCCTGCCCCCTGCCCAGCCCAGAGAAAGCTCCCTAAGATCTGGATGACCCAGCAGGGCTTATCCTGGGTGAATGCATATTTATAACATGGCTTCTAGGTACCTGACACCAAGCAAGGTGCTGGAAGAAAGATAATGAAGCAAATGTCCACTACGTACAAGCCCCTGGATGGATCTCACGAAGAATGTGAGGTGAAAGAAGCAAGGCCCCAGAAGAGGCCAAACAAAACACGTTCTCCAGGAAAGCACACAGAGGTGATCAAAGTAAAGGGAAGCAAGGAAATGACTATCAGGGAGTCGAGCTCGAGCTCGCGGGTAGGCGCAGCAGGGAGGAGGGCACTGGGATCGGGAGGAAACGTTTGGCCTCTGGAGTGGCAGCCACGGCCTACAGCTTTATCTCAGTGGACACCCGCTTTACAACAATTGGTTCAACTGTGTATTTGTTAGGCCGTTTTGGGTTTATGTACTTTACAATTTAAACGTTATTATAACTTTCTGAAAACGAGTTTTCATTTTCTGTAAAGATTTTAAAAGGAAAATGAAAAATAACTCCTGTGGATGCCAAGAGCTTTGTGGTCCCGTCCTGAGAAAGAGAAGAGACCAAAAGAAAGGCGGGAGCCATCTGAGGAAAGGGGTGTCACCCACCAGAGGTTCATGCAGAGGGAAGGCGTGGTCAGAAATTAAGCCCCTGGACTGTGTCTCCTCTAGGTTGCTGATGAGAGGACCAACTAACACGGTCTTTCTGGAAAGCCATTTGTCAATATATATAAAGAGCCTTTGACATGTTTATGATGCATGACACTGTCATGTCACTTCCAGGCCTCTCTCCCAAGGAAAATAATCAAAGGGGCAATTCATGCACAAGGATTTTCATCACAGAGTTGTTTGCAATAGCAAAGGAAGGAGACAGAAGTCTATCTGAACAGAGAGCTAGTTAAATAAACACATGTCCGTGAGCTAGAATAGTGTGCAGCTACTACAGATCAAAGGCTCGGAGAGTATTTAGTGGACGCGGGGAACGTTCCTGCTGCAACTTTCATTTAAAAAAGGCAAAAGGATAGAAAAAGTGCACTAGGAGGCTGCTCGGTTTTCCTTCTGAAGTGTGTACATGCACACAGAAAACACACCTATGTGTTCACACTAATGGCGTCTGGGGGATGGAAGCCATAGAGGTTTGGAAATGGAGAGGAAGAGAAGGAAGAAGCAGAGGGAGAAGTAGGAGAAGGGGATGGAAATGAGTCTCAGGCCACCAGCTAATACTGGCCAGACACGTTTGCTAAGACCGAGGAGACCAGACAGGACGCCAGACTTCAAGGCTCTCCCTTGGTCATTTCCAAACAACAAACCACTGGATGGGCCAGAGAGCAGAAGCCTCAGCAAGCAGGCCCCATGGGAATGCCAACTAGGAACTGTAGTGAGCCTGCCCTGTCCCCAGAGGAAGGGAAAACTGGGAGAGGGGGCAGGGAGAAGAGCCCCTCTTTGCTCGGCTTCCCTGCCCCCGCTCTCCTGGTCCTCCCCTGGAAACCTCTGCTCCCTCAGTATAACCCCCAGAAGCCTGAGCACCTGAAGTCATTTCTTTCCCCAAAGGGAACCCTTCTGGAATGATCCTGGGGTGAAGGACCTTCCTCTTTCTCATCTCACGAGGGAGCCCTTGGGGCCAACCACTAGCTCACCTGAACAAAGACCGGGAACACCAGGACCTTGGGGGCCAGGGTGACGTAGGTGCCATAGCTTGAGTGTGGGGTGTGCGGCCTCATGACCGGGCAGTTCTGGTAGTTGCCGTGGCCTTTCATGGTCTGCACTGTCTTCATCAGCCGGGACTTCTTCCCCAGGCCTGCGTAGGACTTCCCTTTACTGGGACTACCTGATTCTGGGGAACAGAAATGGGGGACCATGAGGCATTTCCACGTAAAGGCATCCCCTCTGCAGAAAGAGAGAACACAGACACGGCCAGCCCATGTATGCTACATGCCAGGCCCTATGCAAGCTACTGAACACAGAGGGAGGCCTCAGAAGGGTCTCAGGCCACAGGGAAATCCCTCACACTCTAGTGGGAGTTACTGACCCATAAAGAAGCGACTCTGGGACTCAGATGGAGCCAGGAACCACCAACTAGGATGGAGGCAGCAGTCCCCGTCTCGTGTCTGGTGCCCGAGTCAGACCTATCAGTTTGGCCTCGTGTTTTTCAAAATCAGGAAATTTCTCTCATATTTGAGAAATCAGAAGATCTGACCTCACCGGACCCACAGTCCCACATAGAACAATCGGACACGCCGACACCAAGCCCCACGGCTCCCTCTGCGTGCCCAGTGTAGCTCACCTGTTCCCTCGCCTTCCAGGTCCCACGGACAGAAGGCCTGGAGGTCCAGTGGTAGCAGAGACAGAGGACTTTCCTAGGCTGTATTGGAGCCTGCCCTCTATTAGCCACAGGGCGGCCTGGCTCCGCCTATGTCAGTCTAAAATAAGGAGTGGCACCTGCTAGCCCAGTTCTCGGGAAAGAACACGAGCTCTGAGGCCGTATGGCTGTGCCCAGTCCCCACTCCTCTGCTTACTAGCTTGGTGACCTTCAGCCACTCACTTCTCCCCCTTAGAGTCTTGGTTTCCTCAGCTGCAGTAACAGTACCAAGTTCATTGGGTTGCTGTGAGGATTCAGGGAGATGCTCAAGGAAAGCCCTAGAACAACGCCTGGGATCTGGTACGTGCACAACAAAGGTTAGCTGCTAACTTAATGTGGCTCGTGTTGTTGTGGTCCTCTACTCAGAAAAGCAAGTTAATCAGGTGCCCCACAGACTCTGAAAATCCTAGGCTTCACTGAAGTCAGAAGGTACTCTGGTTGGCCAACTCACACTCTATTCTAATCAGAAAAAGGACACAGAGAGAGAGAAACACTTCAGGGAAGAGAGCAGAAGGCTGCATGGCTGGGGTTCCTCTTTAAGGGGATGCTGCTGGACACAAACCCCACGCTGAACAAGAGATAGCATGCAGGTTTTTATTGGGTCCTGTCCACTGAGCAGAGGAACAAGACACAGAGTAGCTAAAAAGTCAGGGATTCTTGGGTGCAAGCAGGTAGGAGGCCAAGTGCATTGCATTCGGGCTCCGTAAATACCTGGGCCGCCTCTGGGGGGGCTCCTGCTGCTAGGTGGGCAACTGACCCCAATGCCTGGCCTACGTCCCAGGACCCAGGCATCCTTCCACCACCCCCCGAGGCCCAGCAGCCAGGGGGTGAACAGGTGGTCCGAGTCCAGCTACATCTCGGGGGAAGCTCCCCACCAACGCGAGGTCCCTGGCCTCAGAGGAAAAACTCAGCTCAGAAGATCTCACACTTACTTCCTCCGCCCACCACATGCCCCTTCTCACCGAGCCGGGTGAGAAAAACAAGCCAGATCCCCATCACAAGTGACCACCGATCAGAGCCATCACAGCCGTATCTTAGGGCAGGACTCAAACCATAATAACTTAAACCACTTCCTGCCTCTTCAAGCAGTGGCTTAGAGAAGAGTAGAAAGAATGTGAGCCCACGGGCTGGGGAAGGGAGCGGGGACCGGGGAGGATGGATGCATGGAAGCAGTTCCACAGCCCCTCCTCTGATCTGGCCCCCGACCTCAGCCCCAGAGGGGTGTGTGTGCTGCCAGGCCTCTCCTCTTTGCTGAAAGAACCCATCCTGTGTCTCCAGATCTGCCCTGGATTTGAGCTGGAAAAGACACTTGAATTTGAGCCCTGGGTGACCTGCCCGAGGACACTTGACCAGTATAAGGTATAGAGCAAGATGGACCCAACATATGCAGCGGTCACGCCTGAGAGCCCCATCTCCACACACCCCTGGATAACTTGTGGCAAGTGGGCGTGGCTCTCCAAAATGGATTTTCTGAAGTACCTCTTTTTTAAAACCAGCCCGGGTTGCAACCCAGCTACTGAGCTCTGTGAAGTCAAACTCCTTGACTTCCCACCTTAACATCCCCTGGTCCAAACCCCCACATCACCTGCTCCACTGACCAAACACAATAATTACTCAGCTTTGCTCCGGCTTCCAAGGCGAGCCCTGGCAGCCATCCCGCTCTGGTCCTGGAGAATCTGAGGCTCGGCCCCTTCGCAGTGCAGGGGACAACGCTGAGGGCACCAGCGGCCCCAGGGAATATGTCAACTACAAGCAGCAAGCGCCCTAGGCCTCAGAAGGGCACCAGACACCGCTCAACTCTGGATGGCTCAACCTGCCCCTGCAAAAGGAGGCCAGGCGGCCCAGCCAGAGGAGGAGGCAGAAGTCAACACCATGGTGACCGCCCCGGGCCTCTGAAGAACCCCGAGTGTGTTTAAGGGAAGGTTCAGTCCCACCCCTTCCTCTGAACTCCAGGACTGGGAGCTGTGAAGACTTGATTGCTGATAAAGAGCCAAGATATCCTTGCATACCAAAAACAGCCATTACTGTGAAGAGCAAATGAAGGAAGGTCAAGTTCTTAATCCAATGCCTTCAAAAAGCTACCACTGTTGTGGACACTCTCACATCTCCTTGTCCCTCTCTCTCCGTGGCCTAGATGACTATGTCCTTGGTTCACTCAATACTGTATTCTCAGAGGGGAATCAAAACGCGGACCCCGGATGGGAGGGCTCCGAGAGGCACGTGTCAGGCCGAGAAGGACTCGATCCCACATCACCGGCCCACCGCGAGCAGCAGGCTCTCCAGCTCCTGAGCTCCGTGATCAGCCTTCAAAGCCCAGCAGCAACCAGCCAGGGTCATTCTCCTTCACTCGGTCACTCGGCTGAAATTCTACTGAGTACCTGATGTCTGCCACACACCAGGGCCAGCACCGGGTCCTCAGAGATGAGTCGGCCGAGGCCCTGCCTTAATGAAGTCACCGTTTAGCAGTGACACCCCACTCTAACCTAATGCGCTGACTAAAAGCTTTTTAAGAACTCAGTGTTGAATAACTATCAGACTCCTCTCCAGAAGGAACACAGATGCATTTCCAACAGACCAGGCTCATCCATCCAAATGGCCTACCCTAGAGGGAATGCAGATGCCTTCCATCAGCAGCTCTGGGCCTGATGGGAGCCCTTTCCCCCCAACCCCCAAAGGCCCAGGCATTCTTCCAAGTACCCGCTACAAGCCAGCATCGACTTCACACCACGGATGGGGAGGGCGGCAAGGAAGTGAGTCTGCAAACGGCTGGGAAAAGGCCCCTCTCAAGGAAGGAAGTCACCAGGCATTCTGTAGGCACTAGAGAAAAGGCTCGAGCATAGGACCACCAGGCAAGGCTGGTCCCCACCTTCCAGATACCAGCTGGACTTGAGTCAGCTGGACCCCGGCAGGCACGTGGAGGGCCTTCCAGAATGCCCTACCAGTTCCAGCACCAAGACTGGTATCTCAGGCGTCCTGAGGGGGCCCTGGTTTTGAGCTCAGCTTCTCCCCTTGGCTCTTAAAACACAGGGCCAAGATTCAAAGGCCAAAGGAGAAGAACGGGTACAGAGACGCCCTTGCAGTTCAAGGACAGCCATCTTCTGTGTAGCCTCCCTCCATGGGCACACTCCCTACTCACAGTCTCTCCTTTACCCCTCCCGACAACTCTCTGAGGTGGGAACTGTCAGCCCCAGTTTATAGATGAAGAAACTGAACTCCCTGAGGCTCAGGGAGGGGACGTGGATTGTTCACAATCATGCAACTCCGAGTTGAGCCCTCCATGCCCCTGTTTTGAGCGGGCCCGACCAGGTATGGCACCTAACACATATCGGTTGCTCAGTAAAATGGAATGAGTCCCAATCGAATGCCGGAATCCTGAACACCACCTCCTAGACTGCTGTGGGAAGACCCCTTCTTCCTGCTTGTTCAGGCTCCAAGGAGGAAAGATACTGGTTCAGGGAGGGAGAACGGGTATGGAGGGGAAAGAGAGTCCGTGTCAATGTGCGGGGCTCCGGACGGCTGACCTCACATCTCTCTGGGGCTTGGAGGGCACAGCAGCGGAGGACAGACCCACCTTCGGGGATGGCATCCTCCTGGTACACAGGCCGCAGCAGCTGCAAAAGAAGACAGAAGAATCACCTCAGCCCCAGGAACGGGGAGGGACAACTAGGCAGGCTGCTCACCCACAGCCTAGCCATAGGAAGGGAGCACCTCAGGGCACAAGACCCAGCAGCCCTGGCTAAGGAGCAGAGGGTGGTGCTTGGAGGGATTACAGATTCCAGAATCCTCTAGAATGTTAAGAGTTGGGCAGAGCCTTAACGTTCATCCAGTGTAACCCCTTGGCCGTGTCCCCAGCTTTCTTGATGGTGGCTTGTTCCAAAGTGCGTTCCAGGCGACGGTGGCGCCATGGGTCACTACCAGGCCCGCCACAAAGGGTGTGCCGTCAGGGGAATTGGGGAAATGCTGGGTGAAACCATCCTCCCCCGCAAGACACCCCCAGAGCCTCGAGTAGGCTCCTGTGCACTGGGAATCTCCCAGAAGAGGAGGAGAGTTTGGGGTATTTCTCAAGCTTATTTGACCTCGGGACACTTTTCCCCCAGAGTGTCCCATGGGACCAACGTTTTGGTGCGCGTACTCCTCGGCCCACCGTGCCATCTGCGGTGTCTGGGTTCCCACCCGTGACAGGGGGAACAGCCCTCTCACCACAGCCCATTCCACACTGTAGAAAAAGCAGAGACTGGCAGAAAGGTCTTCCTTCTTTCGAGGTGAAATCTTCCTCCCTGTGACATCCCGTGGGCCTGGATCTGTGCCCTGGGCCGCAGGTACCCATCTGCTCTCTCTCCCCAGAACAGCCATCTCTGGCGGGAAGCTGACACATACCCCGCCTCCTCCCTGAACACTTCCAGCCCCTTGCAGGCTCCTCCCTACACCTGTAGTGCGAGGCCAGGGGCCCAAACCCTCCGCCTCCCCCGAGACCGGCTGTCCGTACCTGGCTCCCAGGGTTCAGTGGGGCCAGGATGATGTAGTTGGGGTCAGTGGAGGCGGTGGCGCGGGACAGCGCGGGCAGGGTGTGCTGGCCCCCGCGCTTGGCCACCTCTGTGTAGCGCTCCCAGCCCCCGAGGAGCAGCCCCTCGGAACTGTCACACACCAAGTGGCAGCTGTGGCGCTGTTCAGGCCGCGCCTGGGCCCCGTGGGTGCAGTTCTTCTCCCGCTTATTGGGGGGGGACTGGAGGTCGTGCGTCGACTTGCAGGAGGCCCGCCGCAGGACCCCGCCGTCTGGCCCCGGCTTGACCTGGGGGACCATGCGCCACACGAGCAGGATGATCTCACTGGAGCAGTTCCTACAGTTGGGGGGTGGGGTGGGGAGGGGGGCGGGGGTGACACAAAGAAGTTGAGTTTGGGGAAAGTCAGCCAGGGCAGGGGCCTACGGGGCAGAGAAGAAGGGTGGGGGAGGGGAGAGAAGCCCCCAGTAGTCGGGCAGGAAGGGAGGTGAGGGGCCATCTCAAGCTGAGACAGCAAAAGTGTTCCTTAGATCAGTCAACTCTAGCTGACTGGCAGTGGCTGAGAAGGACCCTGAGGCCAAGGCCAGGTTAACCAAGAGTACCAGACCCTACTAGTGATGTCGGCCACGGGCAGAGTCTAAGCAAGGAGGAGCGAGCAAGCCACCTCTGTGCAACCCCACGTCCAGTCATTCTAGAAGTATACCTAAAATGGTCATGAGAGTTTCACTCCAGCGGGCCAAAACTTAGGGGACCCAAACATTCTAAAGAATAATTTTTCAAGTATGCACTTGAAACATTTGCAACATCTACACATCCTTTAAAAACAACAGGCTTAGCTCTGAAGTCACAGAAATAATGAGCTGGAGTAGAAAGGGCCACCCTGGAGCCGCAACAGGAACCGTAGGGTCTGTTTGAGAGCATCTTGGCCGCTGTTCGCTCCAGGCAATCCAAAATTGCTCTGAGCCTGAACCTTCCATTTGCAGGCCAAGACACTGAGTCCCTGAGGAGCAGAGTGAATTGCTCACAGCTGCGCCGAGGAGGGGAGGGTGAGGCCTTGTGCCCAAGGCAGGGGGCAGGGGGCAGCTGTGCCATTAGCCTGAGGCCCAAAGCCTCCCCGCCTCCTCCCCACCCCGCCCCCCCCGCCCCTGCCCCTGTCACCGGATCTCATGGGCCAGCTCCACGCATTTCCAGTGCTCCACGGGCCTCTCATTCAGCTGCAGCACCGTGTCCAGCTGCTGCAGCCCTGCCCGCTCGGCTGGACCTCCTGCAGGGACAGAGAAAAGCCACCCAAGGGCTCCCGTGGAGCTCAGGACACTGTCCAGGGGCCTACAGTCATGGCTTCCACAGTGACCTCACAAGGGGCACACTGCCCTGCCCCTCTGTTCCCTCATCTGCGAAATGCGGGGCCGACCTTGGTGGCCCTCAGGGTCCTTGAAGGGAGGCACCCCTTCACCCTCAGCTCCTCTGCCTGCTCACTCTTCAGCTATCCGTCCTTCCAGCCAGGTCCCACCTCACTCTCCCCAGGGCCTCCCACCCCCTAGAGAATCCTTCCTTGTTGCCAGGCTCACACACTTCATTCATTCCTTCAACACCGTTCACTGAGCGCCAGTCCTATGCCCGTCCCCATGCAGGCACAGGGGGGCAGGGGGATGGGGGAACACCCAGATCACCAAGCCCTGGCTTCTCCTCCACGATAAGGAGAAGTCTTTGTGAAAAATAGGGAGGGGAATGCCTATTTTTAAGTGCTAATCAGGCTTGGAATAGAATAAAATACCCATTCCCAATGAGGTCCATAAATGACTCTCATTTTCCCATGCAACCCTTACTGAAAATGTAGGTTTAGTTCCTGTTAACATGATTGGGAAACAACATAGAAAAAAAATATATTTTCATTTTGATAAAAACAAAAAAAAATGTGGATATATTTTCATAAACCTCCGTTTCATCTGTGGTCATTTAAAAATATTATTCTTTTGTTTTGAAAAACCAGGACACTGCTCCAGTTTGGGGCTCCCCTTCCAGATCCCACATGAAGCCAGGCACATGGCAGGCAAGTGGGGCTGGCATCCGCCGAGATGCTCACTTACCAGAATCCACAGCCTGGACTCGAACCGGAGAGTCACAGCAGATGGTGAAGCCAAAGCCATCCTTCCCCCTCGGGATGGTGATCTAGGACAGAGCCCTGCGCCGTTACTCCCAGAAGCCACAAGGCAGCTGCCTCTGCTCCAGGGTCGGGAAGCCCACAGGCCCTGCCCCAGAGCCATCCTCCTCTCCAAGGGAGCTAGAGCCAAGAAGGAGGCTGGCCAGCCCTTGCTGTCCCTATCTTGGCCCAGGCATCTTAAGCACTGGGTTGTGGGCCAAGCAGGAAGGCTGGGAGCTCAGGAGGTAAATCCAGGCTGATGCAGAAGGGCTCAGCACGGACAGAGCCTTGGAAGGGTAAGCCTCGTCTTCCTCAGACCCCACAGACACATGGGCCAGTCCAAAGAGCCCCCTGGACCTGCCCGCCTCCACCTTGCCTGTGATCCACTGACTCTTGGTCTCTTGCTTCTTCCTCCCAGGGGTTCACAGAGCATCGGCCCAGGGCTGGCCCTGCGCTGAGGGCCCACAGACAAAACCCACCTGGGTGCTGCCTTCCCAGAGCACAGGGGAGGGAAGACAGGGACGCACATAAAACCTCTGGACGAGGGCCAGGGAACAAGTGCTAGGTTCTCAGGGCAGTCCATCGCTGGGGCCTCAAGGCATCCAGTGAAGACTCCCAGGGGAGAGGGCACATAAGGGCACAGACAGGCCTCCTGGCAAAACCTGAACTAGCCACTGATCTCACAGTGCCTGCTGCATGGCAGATCCACAACCCTACTTCCAGAAGTCCCCTGAAAGGGCCCTGCCACCTGGATCTCTTTTCAAAGCAACACACAATTATCAAGCTCCTAGCATGCATGCCAGGTTCTGCTGAGGTATGGAGGCATGAGGGCTTGATCTCTGGCTCCTCGAGGGCCACAAGAATCTGCAGATCTCTCCAAAGCAAAGGAGCACTGTACTAGAGTGCCCTGGAGCGAAGTACGAGAACTGAGTTGGGAACAGTTCTTTGTGTTTGACTTTGGATGGCAGGCTGGGTGCACGGCAGGAACTGAGCAAGTGCTTCGCGAGGACAGCCCAGCACCGTCCCATCCGCAGCAGGAAACTATTAGGGTACAGTGCCGTCTGCTGGCTCGGTTCAGTTCAGCCTTGCTACGTGGCCCCTCTGTGCACTGCCCATTTGGCTGTGGGTGGGGTACAGGAGGCCCAGACCCTGCCTGCCCAACGAGTGATTCCAGGCTGCTCAGAGGAGGTGTGTGAAAGTGACAGGCCTAAGGGAGGAAAAGTCAGAAGAAGGGTTCACTGGGGTCCCAAGAGAGTCCCTAGGAGAAGTGGACATGGAGGGGGCCCTGGTGAGGCACAAGGGAGGGTGTCCCAGGCAAGTTGAGGAAGAAGCCAGCTCAGCAAGCTGGAAAAGGTCAAGGGCCAGAGGCCTTGTCAGGAGACTCCGGTCTCCTTCCTTTAGGGGCTGTCTCTTCAAGGCTAGGTGCCTGGCATTCACCTACCAGCTGTCCCAGAGGCCAGGCATAAGGAAGGGGAGGGCCGGGGGACCCAGGGTGACCAAGGCCCTTGGAGGCTGTCGGGGAGGTCCCTGAGGCTCTGCTTCCCACCAGCCCTGGGCCTGGATTCAAAGCGAGTTTGTAAAACAGGAAATCTGACAGACAAGGGGAAGGGGGAGGGGGCAGGAAAATACCCTGTTCCCATAAGAATTCTGGGAAAACATGCGGCTAAGACAGGAAGAGAAAAAAATGGAAAGAAAGAAAGAAAAACAAACTGTGGAGTGAGTGTGGAAAGCCCAGGCTGAGACTGAGGGAAGCTGTCAGGAGCCTGGTCCACTCTGTGCGACCAGTGAGGACTTCATGCGGCCTCTTAACCCACCCTCAGCCCAGGCAGAAGGTGGGATTCCAGAGGCTTTCTAGACCTTTCTAGACCCCGTCCTACCCCAGCAAGGGCCACAGCCCCCCTGCCTGGGATGCCGGCTCTGCAAACAGGACTTAGCGCCCATGGGCTCAGGGCTAGCAGTTTGGGGACTGGCCCCCAGAGTTGAATCTGGAGAGAAGAAATATACTCCTGCAAAAACAGTTTCCCCCTCCCACATCCTGGTCCCCTCGTCCAGGTGGGACTGTGGGCCCAAGCCCCTTCTGCCTTCCAAGGCACCAGCCTCAGTAAGAAGAACCAGCCCAGACAACAGTCCAAGTCAGCTGGGGGCTGGGAAGGAAGGGAAGAGGAAAGGGTGCCAGGAAGCAAGGTCCCCTCCTGGCTCTGTGTGAGGGGTGGGACCTCATAAAGGAAGCAGAATTACGATCTGTCCATCACTAGACTCACTGCATTGAGAGGAGAGTGCCCAAAGAACTGGATCATCGCTGCCGCCCTGAGGGGAATGCAGGACTGGCTTTAATATGCCCATTTCACAGAGAAGGAAGCCGAGGCCTAAAGAGAGGAAGTGGCAGCCCCCAGCTCTCAGCCCTCCTCCGTGACCCGGGGCATCAGGGTTAGGAGGTAAGGGGAGCAGCCTGGCCCAGACTCTGAGATCTCGGCAGCTCCTGGCAGAGGCTGTCCTTCCTGGGGGTGGTCCCTGCTCTTTCCTGTCCAGGGCAGGGACTGTCACCGCTCCCAGATTTCACCCAGGCCGGCATCTCACCTCTGCCCTCCTGCCTGCTTTCTGCTCCTCTGTCATGTCTAGGCTTCCATCCCCATCCCTAACTGAACATGTCCTATATGTACATCCCAGGCCTTGCAGCAGGTACTTTGTACACAGCATTCCGTGTCCCGCAGAGCACCATCACTGGACATTACCATCCCTACTCCACTGACGAGGATACTGAGGCTCACAGAGGTCTAGTAACATGCTCAAATGCCACAGCTAAAGAAGGGCAAAAAGCTGGTGCTCAAAACCCTGGGCTGGTTCCTAGCATAGGATCTGTCTTGAACTTCAGTCCCAGAGCCCCAAGCCCCGCCCGCACTCATGCCCAGCTCCGCTCTGACAGCCTGCGTGCCTGTCTTCTGGCCCACAGGCCCAAGGTGACCAAACACTTCACCTCCTAAACAGCGCCCTCCGCCCCACCACCCTACACCCAGCTGCTGGTGTCATGGGAGCTGTTCTGCTGGGCTCCAGGAGGGCCGGGAGGACGGGAGGGGCCCTGAGAGCTGGGAAGGATGCCAGGGAGAACAGGTGGGTCCCAGGGTGCTAGGGTCCAATGGTGGCAAGCCAAGGTGCAGGAGGCCACTCTGGGCATCTCCCTAGACCCTAAGACTGCCTGTCTGCAGGAGTCAGGACCCACATTTCAGTCTGGCCATTACAAGACACAGAGGGGCTTTCCTATACTTTTAAAATCAGAACCATTCCTGAGCTCCCATCAGCTTGGACAGTCCCCAAATCTGGACATCCCTTGCCTTCACCCTCCCTTACCCCCTTCCTTGTTTATAAGAAAAAGTGCCCAACACAGTTCCAGAAAAGCCTTGAGGCCACGGGATCATCACTCCCACCCTGCCCCACATCCCAGAACTGGAGGCTGAGAGGCAGAGCCCTCTCTATGAGGATGGGCTCTGGAGGCACCTCAAGGCACGGCAGCTACCAGGGAGGAAATCATGTGTACGCACATATACACGGAAACATCCCATCTCACAAAGAAGTGCATGCCAACACATGTGAACACACAGAGTCACACACATACAGTGCAGGGCAAGGCATTCCTGTCCCATCAGAAGTAGGGAATACTCGTGAAAGTATAAAGTTAGGAAAAACACAAAACCCAGCTGCTCAGCCACTTCCAATCTCAGGCTTGAGATGCTTTTCTGAAACCCACATTGCCCCCAGATTAAAAAAAAACAAAACAAAACAGAGAATCAACTAGATAACCTCACCAAGGACACCACCATGTCCGTGGTTAGGATGATGCAGAGCTGGGCCTGGTCTGCCCCTAGAGAGGGGCCATAGGTAAAGGGTGGACCTTGGGGCCAGCTCCGGCCTCTATCCTCCCCCCAGATTGAAATTAACCTACAAGGAGCAGGAAGAGGCAAGGAAGGCCTCGTGGGGAGAGAAGTCCTGCTCAGGTGAGCCCCCAGCCCCGACCCCCAGTGACAGCCCGGGCACCCCTAAAGGGCCAAGCACCCACCTGACGGTAGCGGCGCTCCGAGCACACCTTGCAGAGCCCATTGAAGCGGTTCATGGCTGCGGGTCCTGTCTCGGCTGCCGCCCCATGAAATCCCAGCTCTCCCCCCGGCAGCGGGAGCCCGCACTGCGCCCCGTCAGCCTGGCATGACCGCCCTGGGAAGCCCGCCCCGCAGAAGAATGGCAGGAAATCACCTCTCACCTCCCCAAGCCCTGTCTGTGCTGTGTGCCTCTGCACGATAAGCCCGAAGGCTTCCTGAAACCTCAGAATGACAAGGAAGAGGGAGAGTTTTATATTAAAATTCCTGTCAACTAGTTAGTATTCCCCCAGCCCCGGCGGGGAGAGGGCGCCTTTGTTCTGGCTGCATTCTCCGCCATGGGCCACTTTGTGATTCCAGTGTTCTCACAAACACCCCTGGCTGAAAGAGAACCCAGGCAGAAAACACGGCCCCCTCTATAACAACGCCACCGCCCCCCGCAAATCCCAGCGTCCCCGGTAGCAAATCCAGAGGACTAACACCATCTAAAGGATCCACGGACACCTTAGGGGGTTGCACTCACAGTCACCCCATCTCAAAACGGAGAACATGAAACATGTGGGTCTGAGAACAGCCTGCCATTCACAAGCTACTTAAAAGTCAGTTTCTTTAGCCAGGCAACAGCATTAGGCATCTGATGACATGCAGACCACAAAGGCTAATCAGGAAGGGAATTCCAATCACCAGATGACCCAGCCTCCTCATTCTACCCTTCAAGAAGCTGGGGACCACAATGGTTAAGGTCACATAGCAGAGTACGCAGAGCTGGGACCAGAACCCCAGTCTTGTTCCCTGCCTTGTAGAGCGGTACCTGGTGAGCCCAGCGCCCCTTATACCCACCTCACCATCCCTGGGGAAACCCACAGCCACTCCTGTCCTTGAGGCCAGAGAGTGGCCCTCGGTACAGCCCAGCTTTGGTTGCTATGACAGTGGGCAGGTCACGCAGGTTTCTGGGACTCCATCACCCCATGTGCACCATGGGGAAGTTTAGTAGGACCTCTGGGGGCTCTCCCTCAGTCCAACTAAGTCACCTTCTGACAAGCACCCCCACTGTGCTGGGTCCCATGGACATCTCTGAGTGTGTAAGCCCAGGAAAATCAAATGGGCCTCAGAAGAGTGTGCCCACGGGTCAGGGCCTGTGTGCAGATCCAGAATGAAGCCGCCCGGAAACTTGCAGTGTTGATGTCCATGTCATGTCACTCCCACAATCACCAGGGCTCTCTAGTCACTGTCCTCCCTGTGCTCAGGAAGTAGAGAGAGAGGGAGGAAGGTATTTGCAGCAACTCCAGTGAAGCTAGAAGGTTTTTTAAAAGATATATTTCTTTATTTGAGAGAGAGCAAGAAGGGGGAGGGGCAGAGGGAGACAAAGAGAGAGAATCTCAACCAGGCTCCACGCTGAGGGTGGAGCCCGATGCGGGGCTTGATCCCACGACCCCAAGATCATGACCTGAGCCGAAATCATGAGTTCGATGCTTAACCGACTGAGCCACCCAGGTGCCCTTGAAGCTAGAAGATTTTAAGCTTCAAATGAAGCCACAGAATACAGTAACTAGCAAGTTATTTTAATAACTTAATAACGGTGCTATCCAACAGGGTAGTGACAAGACATGTGCAACGTGAATTTGAATTAATTCAAGTGAAATAAAATGAAAAAGTCAGGTCTTCCGTCACGCTAACCACATTTCAAGGGCTCAAGAGCTAGTGGCTAGTGACTACCACATTGCACAGGGCGGACAACGTCGACTTGCTCATGGCTATATCCCAGCACCCAGCACAGGGTCTGGCCCCTGAGAATGTTCAATCAACAGTGAGTGAGTGAGTGAGTGAGTGAGTGAGTGAACGAACGAATGGAGTAAATGAAAGAGAAAACATTTTGTAGGATATAATACACCTCTATGGAAGATATTATCAGGGGAAACAGCACCACCGTATCTTCCCAAGTAGGCCGCGTGCAGGAGGCAGTGTGGCTCAGGGTACTCAGGAGAGTGACCTAACCTCTCTGAACCTGACCTCTGTGAGATGGGGAAGTAAGGACCGCCACAGAGAAGGGAGTGAGGGTTAAAGTGGGGAATAGCAGCACTTGGCACAGAGGGGCGTCTCAGTCAGGGGCAGTTTGCTTCTCCCTCTCTTAGTTGTTAGAGAAAACCAGGTCCCGCAAAGAGACGGAATGAACTTGGGGGAATGCCCCCAAATCCCTTTGTGAAGGTTCCTCTCTTGATTCAAAGCCCTAGTGGAGTAAGAGCCCATGGGTCTCAGGTTCAGCCTCATGGCTGCTCCCTGACCTCAAGCAGGCCTAAGCGGAGGGTGATTCGGCCACAGTGCCAGGGGAAGCAAGCGGTCCGAGGGGGCCTGGGGGGAAGGGGAGAGTTGGATTCAAGAGACTGAAGGTCAGTAAGATCCATCCCCAGGGGCCGGGGCCTGGCTCTCTCACCACTGCTGCCGTAACCATGAGTAAACTGAGAAAAGCATAAGAAATAACCCCTAAAAAATGCATGACTTGCTGAATTTCCAAGCTCCAAGTGAACCTGAGTCTCGGGCCCCAAATGCAGTCCTGTTTAGGGGTCTCCTGGGCCAACGGACGGACCAGGAGCAAGTTAGAGCCCAGGGCAGGGCCCAGGCCTGTGAGTCCCGCCCAGGCCTGTCCCCACCTACCTTGAATTCCTCCCCATTCTCAGTGTCCCCACCTCCTGGCGTTCTCAGCAGCGGGTCTGTAAGATGACAGAGCAGAGTCAAAAAGTTTCTGTTGGCACATAAGAGTCCATTCCAGAGACCACCCAGAGGACGAGGTCAGGATGCCGGGCCCATGTGGTCACTGCCGGCCTCCAAGATGTGGGGGTGCCTGAGCTCAGGCTCAGCAGGGTATCAGGAGCCAGGTCTGTGTGTGAGAAGGACAGAACAGAAGGGAACACAGAATCCGAGACCTGAGCCTCAGGACTCATGGCAGGGCCCACTTGCCCTACCTTTCGAGGTGGACTCCCCAAGGCCAGCAAGGCAACCTGGGGCGGATCCTGACATCACAGAGGAGCCAGGCAGGAAGCTCCTGAAACCCAGACCTCCATAAGCTAGAGTGGAGAGATCTGAACCACATAGGGTCAGGCCTATAATCCTCTCCGAGGAAAGTCCAACCACAAAAACAAGGTGTTGTGGGCAAATGCTGCCTGCAGCCTGCATTCCAGCAGGTGCTCATGAGAAGCCCCTGGACCCCGACCTGACTGCAGCGAGGGGTGACAGATGCCACAAAACACAGGGGCAATGCTACTCCTCAGGAAGGGAGGGAAGGGGGAAGGCAAGGGGGTGGGTGGAGCAGCGCATCTGGGCAGAAGCCGAAGGCGGGGCGCACCCACCTCTCAGGGCCCGCAGCCGCCGCCTGGCCACCTTCAGGTGCTTGGTCCGGCCCAGGTCTTCCCCCAGAAGGTAGTACCAGCCGCTGATTTCCTGTCACAAGGGAAGGCGTGACATGCTCAGACAGAGGCAGAGGACACAGGTCAGGCAGCTACCAGCCCCCCCTCAAAAAGCAGCCCCTGGAGAGCCTCCCTCAAGAGCATCATCTCTGCAGAGACAGACCCTTCAGCTGCCCTCCCCCAGAGGGAGCTGCCATGCCTACACCTCCAGGAAGCTTTCCCTGATGCTCCAGGCAGAGCTGCTCATCCTCTCTGCTGAGTTCCCACAGCCTGTTGTCCCTGGAGAACAACGGTCTGCTTACATGCCTGCCTCCCCACTGGGCTGTGCATAGGCTCTCCGATGGGCCTAGCACTGTGCCTGGTATACAGTAGGAGCCCAATGAATGTTGACAGAACAGAAGGGAGGGAGTGAAAGAGGGATGGAGAGGCCAGAAGGTGGGCATCCTAAGGCTCCTGAGCAGTCCCCATGCAGGGAGCATCTCCCAAGAGGGAATGAAGCCAGCACCGCAGGCCAGAGAAGCTATTTGGGACCTACATGCAGGATAAAGGGTCCTCACCACCTATCCCAGACTTCACTTCCAGAACACAAAGTGGCAGGCCACCTGGCAACTCCATGCAGAGGCCACCAGGACATCTCTAGGGGTGTGTGTGAAAGGAGTGTCTCCACCTCCCCTGCTCAAAAGCCTCCAGTTTGGGGCCGGGGTGGGGGGGGAATGCAAAGGTGGATAAGGAACTGGCTACCCAGAGGGAGGGGTCTCTGGATTCCAGAGTCCTCACTCAGCCTAAAGGAAAGTTCCATAGAGGATGGTGCTGCTCACTCCATCCCTGAGCACTTGCTAGACCCAAAAACACGAGACCTGGTAGATAATGTCAAGAGGATGAGAACCACCTAGCCCTCCTCCTCCGGGGCAAGCCCAAGAGTGCTCAGAACTCCGGGGGATCTGCCAGCGTCCTGGTGTGCCAGACACCAGGCCCAGAGCCCCCTGGAAGGCCTAGGGGCTGCCTGACAACTGATCTCTGACAAGCACAAACCCAGGAAGAAGACCCAAAGCCTTGGTCACTCGGACGATAAACAGTGTTGTTCTTCAGGTCGTGAAGCATGCGAGACAGAAGCTCCACCCAAGGGCTTCCAGACAAAGGCCTCTGCCCGTGCTAGCCCTGGCCTTGGTGGGATGATCCTGCCAGAAGCGTCCCCGGGACCCACCTTGTCCGGAGTCAGGAGGGACTTCACCCCAAAGCTCATGCAGCCAATGAGTCCACGCTGTCTGGGAGAACAACAGAGGCTTGAGTCAGCACCTTCTCGCCGGGCTCTATGGGGAGGCCAATTATCCCGTGCAACATAGGTTTGCCTGATTCACTGCGGTTTACAAAGCACTTTGACCCGCGTTGTCTCATTTGATCCTTCCAACTTTGTGAGTTAGGCTGGAGAGGGCTAAGTCTCCCCATTTCATGGAGGAAAAGGCTGAGGCTCAGAGTTGGTCCCCTTCCCAAGGTCACAAACCGGGTTAGTAGTAAGGTCCTTGGGAAAGCCATGCACCCTAGATTGGAAAACAGTTCTCCCTCTACCAACCACAGAAGCTTAGGGCTACCCATAGGCTTTGGGGATTTTTTCTTTCTTTTCTTTTTTTTTTTTAGTAGAATTAACATACTGGGTTATATTAGTTTCAGGTGTACAGTATAATGATTCAACAACTCTACATTTCTCAGTGCTCCTCAAGATAGGGTACTGTCTCCCCTCCCTTGCCCTCACCTCTCCTCTGGCAACCAGTTTGTTCTCTGTACTTAAGAGTCTGGGTTTTTTGTTTGTCCTTTTTTTCCCTTCTTCTTCTTTATTTGCTCATTTGTATTGTCTCTTAATTCCACATAGGAGTGAAATCATACGGTATTTGTCTTTCGCTGCCTGATTTATTTCACTCAGCATTAACTGTTCTAGTACTAGGGAGATCTGAAGAGGCAGGCCCCGCAGGGAATTTCAGCACCCATATCAGTGGGTTGATGCTCAACTGAAAAGTTGTGGGACCTCAAGTTCAAGAAGCTCTTCTCAGGTACAGGCAGGACCTTCGCAGTTCCTGGACGGGTTCAGATCAAAGTCCCAATCAACACAAAAGTTGTTGAGACTCACTGGACCTGGACAAGTAGGCATGAGCCAGAGTCAGGACTTGGCGGGGAGCGGGGGGGGGGGGGTGTCACACTGTGGCAAGAGGCTGAGTTCAGTCGGGTCCCCCGTGACTAAGAGTAATTCAAAGTTCCGGAAGACTGATCACCATTGAGTCCCAGCGTCTAATCTGGGACTGACTGATACAAGGCAGCTTTCAGTAAGGATGGCATGGGCTAATGTTAATGAAATTCAAAAAAATAATCTTGTCACTGGGAGAGAAAAGGAAGTAGTTTACAAATTTGTAGTTTAATGAGAAAGACACCCACGAAAATATTAACAGTAGTTGTCTCCGGTAGGTGGGATTCGAGGGGTTTTTGTTTTCTTCTTTGGGTTTTCAGTGTTTTCAAGTGTTCACAGGGAACAAGCACTACTTTTGTAATCAGAAAAGAAAAACAGTATTTATATCTTTATATTTGCAAATACTTCTATTCTACCATATCTTTCTCTATCTTAGCACTAGAGTCGCTTTTTCATTTTTCTATTGTCCTCTTTCTTAGCGCATCCCCAACTCAGACCGCCCCAGAGACTGGTTTAATAGCTGTTAACCAAGAAACAGCATGAGTATTTAGACGGAAGCATAATCCTTCAGTATCTGAGGGACCCACATAGAGGAGAGATTGAGCAAATACTGTAGAAGACACAAGAGCAAAGCCAAAGATGGAATGAGCCGCCCACACGGGTAGTGAACACCCTAGAGGTGTGCCTCCCCAGAACCTGGTCCAGGGCGGCCTGAGTGAGGCCAGGGGCTCTAGCTGAGGGTGCACCACAGGACCCTCTGAAGAGCCCACCCAAATCCTGTGCCCCAGAGCCTGCCCCTGGGGACCGGACACAGTAAGTCCGAGGTGGGATCCAGACCTGTGAGTCTAGAGAAAGCTATGCCAGGACTCCTGCAGGGCACCCGCCTGTGCCTGCCCCAGTCAAGGACCAGTGGACCAGGTCTCTGTAAATAAATATTGTTTGCATTCTCCGGAAAGAGTGGCAGCTTACCACCTGACGGTCCCAAGCAAAACAAAACTGGCTTCTCATAGGCAGCCAAGTCAAGTGAGGGGCGGGGCTGCCGAGCACTAGAGACTGATCCTCGGAACTGGTGCCCCCGCCCCTCAGAGGCACACTCTGCACCTGACAGTGCCTCCCCACCTCCTGTCACTCGGCTACTCCCCCTGCTCCCTCCCCTGCCCTCATTTCCTGTGGCCTGGGCACTCCGGCTCCCCCTCTTCCTTGCCCCCTCCCATCAGACAAGGCCATATTAATAATCTACCCAAAGAGGGGTGCCTGGGTGGCTCAGTCGTTAAGCGTCTCAGGTCATGATCCCAGGGTCCTGGGATACAGCCCCGCATCAGGCTCCCTGCTCTGCGGGAAGCCTGCTTCTCCCTCTCCCACTCCCCCTGCTTGTGTTCCCTCTTTCGCTGTGTTTCTCTCTGTCAAATAAATAAAATCTTTAAAAAAAAAAAAAAATCTACCCAAAGAGAACAGTGCGCTCACCCCCAGTAAAGAGACCCTTCCACATCCATCTCCCCAGCCCACCCCCAGGAACAACACTCCTCCCTCCTGGGAAGTGGCCAGCCACAGTGACCATCACGAGCGGCAGACCCTGGTCTGAGTTGCCATTCCAGAAAAGCCTTGTCAAGACTTCGCCAAAGTCCTTACCACCAATTTGATTCTATTTTTCAACACCTTCAAGGGCAACCCGGCTGGTACCCAGGTGCTCACACTTCCTTGTTGCACACTTTTCCTATCACACCGGGTATGGCTCTAACTTTCTAAATCTCCAAGCAGGATGCTTTAGCTGTAATAAAGGCTGCCTCTCCCCGCTGCTCTTCAATAAGTGGAATTTTCATTCCCTGGGGCTTAGAGAATGCTAAATGGTTAATAGCCCACATGAGCTTTGCTTCCTGCTAAGGGGCCTCCAATGATTTCATGCTAATTCAGGCCAAGTAAATTGTCACAATTAATGTCCATAAGCAGGAAACGCTCTCTAAGTGTTCTTCAATTAGCTACTCCTTAAGCCTGCTTTTGAAAAATCTTTGGAGGAAGAAAGACTTCTTTTACACATAATCTGAGTACCCGGCAGGCAATGTACCGGTCGGTCAGCCTATAAACTTGGAAACTAGTGCTTACCCTGGAGGCTGCCTGAGAATTGCACAAGCACAAAGTCTCAGGGGCCAAGCCTTGGTGACTTCTCAATGCTAAACCCTGAGCTCAGGGCTCCGCGCTCAGTGAAGGCTTGACAAATGCAGGAACCCATCATGCCCGTGGTGGGTTGGCAGGCCCTGGGCAAGGAGCCGCAGCATTAAGGAAAGCAGACGGATTTGCAGGAATGTAAATAGCAATCCAAGAGAGCGATACAAGGGATATCACTGACAGGGCGAGATTGACAGACAGATGGACAGTGTAGGCAACAAACGCTGAAAGCTCTGGGAGGGCTGAGATGCCGGAAGAGGGCCTGAAGAGCTAAGCCAGAGAGAGGAAAAGGAAGAGCACTGCGGGCAGAGGGAACAGCCAGTACAAAGACTCAGAGGTAAGGCTTCATGGAACACTCGTGGCGAAGAGTACTGGGCTCGGTTACCTTTTGAGCAGAGGGTAAGAGACCCACTGCAAAATGAAAATGCATTCTTTTCAGGGAACTTTCAGAAGAAAATGCATTCTTCTCAGGGGCCTTAAACTATTTCTGCTGCAGGGTTACAGCATTTAATCTCCATTTATTTTTACTTTGATGGCTTAAATTGAACACATATTTTTCCATTTGTTTTTTTTTTTTTTTCTTTCCCTGTGTTGGGTCACAAGCTTTCTAACAAAGATGGCACTGTGCTTCGCACTGAGGTCCCGTTTGGAAAGTAGATCAAAGGCGAGAGAAGACTTGGAATGCCCAGGACAGGGTATGACACACAGCAAGCAGACTCTCCATAAATGTTCCTACTCTTCGCATAAAAGATTATGTGTTTCAAGCTATGTGTGTTTTGTTCTTTTTTTAGCGTGGGGTGTGACCTTACAATCCTAAGACTGTTCTCTGGCCACAGGTTCTGAAAGTGCTATCATTGATACTAGAAGCTTCAGTGGGGCCTTCACCGTATCATCAAACAAAACTTTTAAATAGCTGAGTTCCATAGTCAAAGATATTAAGGAGTGACTCTTAATTGTCAAGCATGATAATGGCGTTGTGGTTGTCTTTTTAAGCCATCTTTTAGAGAGATATATAGAGAGGAGATGAGATGATGTCTGGGACTGGCTTTAAGATAATCCACTGGAGGAGGGAGGGGAGAATGCGTGGGGGCATGGAGGGAATAAAATTGGCCATATAGCTGATGGATGAAGCTGGACTATGAATATATGAGGGCTTATTATATGACATCTTCTACCTTTACGGTATGTTTGAAAATTTTTTTTTTTTTTTTGCTTTTTTTGTTTGAAAATTTCTTGAAAATTCACAGAACCCGAAAGCTGAAAGAAATCTTAGCATCTCTCCTGCATTTCACAGTTGAAACTGAAGCCTGGAGTGGGGAAGAGACTTACCTAAGGTCTCGTAGCAACGTTGGCGTTAAGCCAAATCTCCTGCCCTGAGGCCTGGTTCCCCTCAGCACCCACTCTGTCACCACGGTGAGGTGACATCCCCCAGCGTTTCCCCCAGAACGTCTTTGTAGACCACCTTGTCCCCCTAAGACGAGTTTACAGCCATCACTGGAAGGATCGTGAGAAGTCATGAAACAGAGGCTTCCCTTTTATCTCCTATCAGTTACAAAATGTAACTGCCACACATTCACCTGGATGATTTACGTAAAACCACATCTGTTTCTGTTGGGAAACAGCCCAGAGGAAGCAGCCCAGGCCCCAAGGAACAAGGGTACTGACACAGTGCGTCACAGAAGGAGTATAGCTTTGGAGTCATTTATTGCCTGCATGAGGACAGTCAACTCCCAGGCTGCCTGGATTTGAATCCTGTTTCCACCACCTCCTAGCTGCATTAGCTCAGGCAAGTTACTTAACCTCTCTGTGCCTCTGTGTCCTCACCTGCCAGAGAGCGACAGCCCTATTACCTACTTACACAGCGTTGTGAGGATTAAATTAGACAATGCATGGAATATGCTATGCAAGGTCCACACACAGTGGACATTCAGGGTTTAATAACCTCACGCAAGTTCCTTCACCTTTATAAGCCTCGGTTTCTTCTTCTCCGAAGGGAGGGACAGTAATAATTCCTACATCGTCCCAAGGTTGCTTATGAGGATGAAATGAAATAATGTATGTAACGGGCCTGGCACAGAGAAGAGTTCAGTAAATGTTTGTTTCCTTCCTCCTGTACTGGTCTTTGATGTTGCTAAGCTGCATGTCCGTCCTTTGGAGAAGCACAACGCGAAGTGAGAGCGTTCCGCAGGGCGGAAGTTTCCTGCAATTGCTCCGTCGGCCTCCCCCGGCTCCGAGGCCTTCTGGCTCGGAGAGGGATCGACACTACGTGTCCCTGCGTGGCGCTGGCGGCCTCGGAGGGGCCACCTGCTCCAAAGCAGGCCTGCCTGAGCCTGCTCTGTCCCTCTTGAGCTTTGGATCGGGACTGTGACCACGAGCTCCACTGTGCTGGGTTTAATAAGGAATCTCACTTTCCCAAAATAGGCAACAAGTGGAGACACAGCCTCCGTCGCACTGCCCCGCAGGGTGCTGACTCACTTTCCCCCCTGGCCTCACTTTCTTTTGCAAAACCCGTGAACTGCCCTCTGCTGGGCTCGCCCTGGTCTCACAGGAGGGCAGACCTCTGTGGCGGGTCCCAGCGCAGCGCATGCCTCTAGCACCTGCCCCCCTCCTTGCCTCCGTCCCGTGGGCTCCCCAGACGCCCTCCGTCTCTCTGGCACTCCTCTTCGGGCTTCTTCAGGCTTTCCTGCCAAGACGGGATTCTGACCCTTGAGGCTTGTCACCCACTGTCATCCTAGGCAGTCTACCCTCCTTCACCCACCGCCTTGGTCATGGCTCCCACGTCCGTACCTTGGCACAGAGCTCTCTCTCCCTCTGGGCTCTGTGTCAGCAAGGCACCCCTACACAGCTCCCATCCGACTGCTCTCCAGCCCCTCCTTCTCGGGGGACCCAAAGCTGGTTCCCTTCCCCTCCAGGGCATGCTGGTTTGGTTGGGGACACCACCTGATACCCAGGAATGACCCCTGACTTCACCCGCCGCTCTCACAGCCAAACCACCACTAAGTACCATTAATCTAATCTCCTAAATCTGTCCTAGGTCTGCCTCCCTCCTCTCCATCCCTAAAGCATCTCTCTCACCGATCACTGCAACGATCTCCTAGCTCCTCCCCAGCCTTCCAAAGCCCTACCAGGATGATAGATCTAGAACACGCGTCTGCCTCTCCCCTGCTCAACACCCCTCAGTATCTCTTCACCGCCAGCTTCCCAAACACCAAGCTGACGGCATGAGGTTCCCCTGAGAACTTATATAAATGTAGCTCCCTCAGCCCTGCCCATGAAGATCGGACTGAATCCATCTGACATGGCACCTGGGAATCTATGTTCTCTGCAAGCATCCCAGGGATTCTGATGCAATTCCAGGGCTGAGAACCACTGGCCTTAGGAGGCAGCCCACGCTCCAAAGAACACCTACAGAATCATCTGATTTGGCTTACACCAACCTCTTCATCTTATCTCTAGCTGGCCCCTACTTTGTACTTGACCCTCCTGCAATGCCAAGGAGTTTGGAGACCCCTCCCCACTTCTGCCCTGCCCTGCCCTCTATACTCTGCTGGTTCTTTCTTCTGTCCTTTTGCTTGCACCCCAGGAAGCAGTATAGTGTTGAGAGTGAAAATCTGGGGTCTAACTGCCTGGATTCCCATCCCGGCTCTACTGCCTACTGACCATGTGACCTTGGGCAAGTGACTCCCTTTCTTACCCTCCATTTCCTCTTCTGAAAACTTAGGCAAAAACATACTCCTCTTAAGAGTTATGAATTAAATGAGATAATGCACTGTCAACCCCTGGCTTGTGGTCAACACCCAGTAAATGGTTGCTTATTATCAATGTGATGTCCTCCTTCTCACCCACACCCCCAAGTCCCTATCAGTGATCTTCTCGAGAGCAGGAGAGTCTCTGATTGACCCCATGTGTCCCCAGCATCTAGACCAATGTTGTCACATTGGTACCCAGGAAATGGCAGCTGAATGAATCAGGTCTACAGCACCATAAGTTCCATGAGAAAAAGTAAATGCTCCATTAAAAGAAATATTCTTCCTTATGAATAAGGCTCAATTTTAAAAAGCATACCAGCTATAAAATTTAAGATACTAAAAAGCATTCAACCCCAAAATATTTTCCCAGTCCTAAGCTGGTAAACGGAGCGGATTTTCATTCACTGAGGCACTTTTCCAATTACCACTTGGTTCTATGATGGCTTGACAAATGTATGGCCACAGGGTCCCCCAGATTCCTTCGGCTGCCCCAGGTGAATGAGCCCCTGCTGCTCACAACTCAGTGAGCAGTCCAGTTGCTCTTACCCCCTCTGCTGAGCAGCCGATTCTCCCCCTCACCCAGCACTCCTCCCCTGTGCTGGACTAAACCCCATGCTAAGGACCACATCTGGCCACCCGTGTCCCGCGCAGCATGCAAGACCAGCCTGTTTGGCTATTCCCACATAAAACCTCTGCACCTCCCACGCTGCCTCCTCATGGCAGCCTGAGCCCAGCATGCATATTCCTGCCTCTTGCCTTTGCTCATGCAAAACCTTCTCTCCTTGTCTTATTCTTGATCTCTGCCCCAAGTTCACAATCCCATTTCTTCCAGGAAGCCTTCCTTGATCACCCCGGCCCACAAAGAACTTCCCTCTTCCCATACTTACTGTCCTTATTACTCATTCAGTCTTTTATCCATTCAAACAATATTTACAGAACATCTATGTGCTAGGCATTGGGTACAGTGATGACTAAAAAAGAAATGGGCCTATTTTTCTAGGAGCTTCTACTCCTGTGGAACTGAGCGTGTGTATATTGTTACTGTAATCGGTGTCTAGGCAGCACCTGGTGTCCCTTCCTACAAGTGGGCATCTTGAGAGCAGAAGCCACAGGCAGGCTGGCTGGCGTCCCCGGGGGCCAAAGCAATGCCTTGTTGATACCAAGGGCATAGCAAATGCTACCTGATAACACGGTCCTCCACACTGTCTGGAGCGATGGGGACTCAGGCTAGTGGCGGCCTCTCAGATTTAGTGTTTCCACTACTACTCATTCATCCCACAGGCTTTAACTGGTGCCTGCTGGCCGCCTGGCTGCCCCCTGGGGGCCGAGAACAGGCTCTCCCCTCCAGCTCAGTGCTTCCCCTCACCTGGAGTCACCCGCCCTATTCCACACAGTGACCAGAAGGCGCTTCTGTTCATCTTCCTCTTGGATGAGACTGCAAAGCAAACCAGACGGTCAGAGTGTTAGTAGGGCCAAGCTCCAGGCTGGACCCACAGAGTTCATCACAATTGCAAAATTTAGAAATAACCTAACAACCATAAGGAGCTGGTTAAAGAAACTCAAGCACCAATAGGGTGGGAGGTGAGTATTCACATACATAAAAGAGTTTCAATTACTTTGTTCAGGACAAAAGGGAGGTTACCACATAATATTACAGAACAATTCCATTTTTGTAAACACCTACACACAGACAGACATACACACCCACACAAATCAAAGACCTGAAAAGAAATAAGCCGAGACATGTCATAAGTAGTAGGGCTCGAGGGGTTTTCTCTTTTCTTCTCTTTGCTAATCTGTTTTTCTACAATAAGCAAATTAGTTTGAAAAAAAACAAAGTGTTCTTAATTTTCAGTAACAGAATACCAAATGGCCATTTCCTTCCCATTGGCCCCAGAGTTCAGAGTGGGGGGGGAATAATAATAATAATTAATAATAATAATAACAAACAGCTGACATCGCATTACACGGTTTCATTCACAGGTCAGTTCTCCGAGGTCAGTATTCTCATCAGCCCATTTTACAACGATGGAAGCTGAGGCCCGGGGTGGTTAGCAAGTTTTACAAGGTGGGGGGAATCCCTCAGCTTGGAAAATCTCTTCTACTGAAAGAGAAGGCTTGGCCCGAGGCCCTGTGGGAAAATGCCTCCTCGTCAGGGGCTGCCAGCCTCAGGCTGGGCATTTTGGTTGTGAGAACCAGCCAAGTGACACCTTATCACTGTGGACCTCGCTGCCGGGCAGGGTGCCAGGGATGCAAGGACACAAGTGAACGAGAAAACACAGACATCCTTTAGAAGTCACTGTTTTTCTGCTTAGATCTACTTCTAGATTTGGCAAACGGAGCTGGTTCCAGATAAACACTCCTTCCCTCTCCCCTCGAGGGCACCAGACTCTTACAAGAAGAAGTGCTCACGGAAGACCGGCTCTCTGCAGTCTGGGACGGTCTGCGTCTTCTGGCGACGCAGTCGATTATCTTCAGGGATCAAAGAAATCTTGAATTGGAGAAAAGGAAGCATGAGATGATGGCTTGTGGCTCCGGAATCACCGAAGCCCAGCAGCTGACTGCCCAGCCCCCAGGTGAAAGGCCTCCCCGGTGTCCTTCAAACCAGCCTCTGGAGAGGACAGACTGCAGTCCTCAGTCAGAGGCCGGGAGACAAACAGAAGCCCCCGCCGAGGCGCTAGAATCAGATGCGGGGCCGGGGGGCCAGGAGGCCGGGAGAAGGCCCCACAGTGGGTGCCACCACCAAGGTAGCCACAGGCCCAGCCGTAGATGGGGTGTACTTCAGCCATCTCTGGTCTTCCTCTCAGCACTGGCCTCTCTCCTAAGTTCCCCGCAGCTGCTCGGTGCTCCCTTCACCAGAGGCTCCCTCTGCCAAGGCCCCAAATCCATGTTCTCGCCCTTGAGCTGCTCCTCCCCCGCCTCTGCTCCTGCCCAAGTCCTCACCCACAGGGGCCTATGACCAGCCTGGGGGCTTTGGGAGAGAAGAGAGGGGTGCATCCCAGCTGCCACACTCTGGCCTTTGGTTCTGGCTGGAAGTAGGCCCTCTGCCCTGTGGGGCCTCTGTCTTCACTGCAATGGCCCCACTCAGATGGATCTTCTAGGCCTCAGAGACACTCTCTCCCCTCCACCACCCAAACCTGGCCATCTTGCTTCTGGTTTTGCCAGGGAGAGGGGTGAGAATATTGCTTTTCATGAGAGGGCTTGGGATCATCTGTGGATTTCTGTCACCCACACGTTCACAGTGCTCACCTGTGTGGATGACCAAGATCACCCACAAGATTCCCGCTCTTGCAGGAAGCCTCAGGGACCAAGCTGGGCTAAGGGAAGGGCCTATCCTAGCTCAGCACCTCATCACTGGATCTAATAAATGCCTAATGACCAAATAATGAGGTGGTCCCTGCCACCTCGAGTGGCCCCAAGCCCACAGATGTGCTGAGACCTTGGGACACAGTCTAGTGACATGGCCCCTCATCACCCCCACCCACACACCTCCCTACCTCCAGCTCATCATATACCTTCACGTAGGGATCACAGATGCCAGGCTCTCTGCTCATCAGGCCTTTGCCTTCTATAACTAAAGAGAGAATGGAAATGTTGGAGTGGGTGCCTGGGCAGGAAGGATTATCATTAGCCCCTAATGTGCGTAACAGCCATTGGCTATTAAGCCCCTCTGGTCTAGTCCATTCCCACCATCTCCCACACACAGGCGGCACCCTCACTGAGACATTGCAGGGCGCATTCGATTCCTTGAAACTTACAGCTGAAAGAACATCAAATTTATCGAGTTTAACCCCTCTTTTAATGGGAAAGATGAGACTGTAGGGGGACCCAGAGATAGTAAGAAACGTACCCAAAGTCACAGAGCAATCAGAGCGATGGGTAAGCCAGAGCTGGGTTTGAATCCCTATCTCCTGACTCCCAGTCCGGGGCTCCCTCCTCCACCCGAGTCCACCTCCTGGGACGGAGGGGCCAGGCTGGAGAACTTACCCTGCCCCGTCGGCTGCACTGGGACTGTGGGACGGTATGGCAGAGCAGGCAGAAGCCTGGGTCCAGAGACGGGCCCGGGGCCCTGGGGCCACAGACCCGCACAAATACCAGCTCCGGCACTTACTAGACGGGACAGTATGAGTAAGTGGCTTCGTCTCTCTGCCACTGAATTCGCTATTTTTCAATGGAGGAGTGATCGTAATGGGTCAGGGATCACGACACCCACTTCACATGAAGGTGTGCTGGCTGAATGAGATGATGTGTCTAAAGTGCTGAGGAGAGGGCCTGGCAAGCACGTAATTGCTGAAAGAAGGTTTGCTAGAGAAAAAATAATAAAGGCAAGGGATAGGTGGCAGGTGAGGCGCAGGCCTGATCCTGAATGTTAGCATTTGCCTGCAGTCTGTAGAAATCAGACAGAAGCGGAGCCTCTTTGCTCTTTTCTTTTCTGTTCAGTGGGGATTGAGGCCTAGGGTTTGGCTTGGACGGGGCTCCTGTAGTCTGAGGCATGAAGCCTGTGAAGCCAAAGGGGAGAGAGAACAGGCTGGAAGGGATGAAGAGCCCTACAACTGGGGTGAAGCCAAAGCAAACCATGCAGGACAAATGAAGTGGTGGAGGCCAAGATGCATTTTGCAAAATCTGTTTGCACAGCTGGAGTCAGGCTCTGGCCCGCAAAGAACCCTCCTCTGCTGGTCCTTGGGAACGTCACCTTGGGCCCCCCAAGGCCAGGACCGGAGGACCCCAGGCGCCTGCTGGTCTATGCTGCCTGGTGTCCTAGCTACCAGTCCTGTGTGCGTCCTTCCTCTTGAGGGCGTGGTCACGGGGGGGGGCAGGTTCCCGGCCTGAGGAAACCCCGGGTCTCCCTGCCCACCCTCCCCCTGCCCGAGCAGGTGCGGCAGACATGGTTCCTGCCCCACTGCATTCCGGGACAGCCCAGAGTGACGCAGCGTAGTCAGGGCTGTGTGAAGGACACAGAGGAGGAAGCAACATACTCAGGTAGGTCAGGGGGGTGATTCCTGAAGGGGGTAAAAAATGAAGCAAAGTGAGCCTTCCTTCCTGAGCCTTAATGATGATGAAGGCAGGCACATTTCTCGCAAAATCAGAGGGAGGGAGAGTTATTTTTCAAAAGGAATTCAAAAAGAAGGCAGGCGACTCCAGGCACAAGAGACAGTGGGGTGCAGAGGCTCAGAGGCATGAGCAAGGGGGTGCATGTAACTGGACAGAAAAGGGAGTACAGAAGGGCGCCTGGGTGGCTCAGTCGTTAAGTGTCTGCCTTCGGCTCTGGTCGTGATCCCAGGGTCCTGGGATCGAGCCCCACATTGGGCTCCCTGCTCGGTGGGAAGCCTGCTTCTCCCTCTCCCACCCCCCCTGCTTGTGTTCCCTCTCTGTCTCTCTCTGTCAAATAAATAAAATCTTTTTTTAAAAAAGGGGGGGGCGCGCCTGGGTTGCTCAGTCGGTTAAGCGACTGCCTTCGGCTCAGGTCATGATCCTGGAGTCCCAGGATCGAGTCCGCATCGGGCTCCCTGCTCAGTGGGGAGTCTGCTTCTTCCTCTGACCCTCCCCCCTCTCGTACACTCTCTCTCTCACTCTCTCTCTCTCTCAAATAAATAAAATCTTTAAAAAAAAGAAAAGAGGGGGGAGTGCAGGGAGACTTTAACAGCAAGGGCCACACAGGCTGGAGAGATAGGCAGGGCCTGCTGGGCTAAACAGAAGAGTCCAGGCAGCAAAGACCACGATAGAAGCTCAGTAACTACGTGTGTGCTGGGTGGAAGGACAAACAAATGGATAAATGGACAGGTAAAGTGTAAAATCCTCTGGGTGGCCCATGGGAACCTTCACCGCCTGGCCCCATACTCACTGTGGAGCAGCAGAACCCGGTCCTGGGCATCGATTGACAGCTTCAGCTGACCTAAGGAGACAACAACAGAAGCAACTTCACCTCATCTTTTGTTGGGTGAAAGATGGGGTAGCAGTGATGGGAATGCTCTTTTGTTCATGTGAAGTGATTCAAATATCCATGGGGTCTCTGAGTTGGGAGGGAGCTCGGAAGCCACTTAGTTCAGCCTCCTCATAACATCAGGAGTCCCTTCTGTAATACCTCCAGCAGTGGCTCTCCACCCTGGGCTTATACCCCTCTGGTGATGCAGAGCTCACTACTTTACAAGGCAGCCCAGGTTAATGCTGGGGAGCTCTCTCTGTTGGACAGTTGGAAAAGTTGTTGCATCCACATCAAGACAAGCCCAGATTGGAGAGTTAAGGATCCTGGGTCTTGGTCAGCAGTCCTTGGGGGTCAGGGGGTCAAGGGGGAGGTCAGGGCAAGTCCTCCACTGTGACAGACAGCTAGTTGTGTTCTGGAAAGGCAATAACAACACAAGGGCAGGGAACAAATGATTTGGGGGAAAAGCAAAAGAAAAGAGATCAGGGGGCGCCTGGGTGGCTCAGTTGGTTAAGCGACTGCCTTCGGCTCAGGTCATGATCCTGGAGTCCCGGGATCGAGTTCCGCATCGGGCTCCCTGCTCGGCAGGGAGTCTGCTTCTCCCTCTGACCCTCCTCCCTCTCATGCTCTCTGTCTCTCATTCTCTCTGTCTCAAATAAATAAATAAAATCTTTAAAAAAAAAAAAGAAAAGAGATCAGGTGTGGGCAGAGAGATCCTTCGAAGTCAGTGCTACCACCCTCCATCATTGCACAGAACCCTGATCTCCCTAAAGAAAAACCGACCACTGGCCATGCTATGTGTGGTCCGAGAACCACCAGCACCAGAAGCATCTGGATGATAGCTAGAAATGCAGAATTGCAGGCCCCCGCCCCAGGCATACTGAATCAGAATCTGCACTTTAACCAGATCCCCAGGGAGGCACAGGTGCATTAAAGGTTGAGGAGTCCCGGACTAGCGCACGCTGAAGGGCCTCTGAGCATGTTTATAAGCTTGGAAAAGGCCTTCTTAGCAAGACACAAAATGCAGAGGCACCAAGGGAAAAGACAGACAACTCTGACTCCACACGATTTTTCAATGTCCATTACAATGAAAGATATCATAAACAAGGTTATGAGACAACACAATAGAAAAATAGACAAAGGTCCTAAACTGCAAATGCAGAGAAGACAAAACAGCCAATAAATGTATGAGAAGATGCTAGGCCTCACAGGGATCTGGGACATGCAAATTAGCCATAAAATACCATTCTCCTTCAATCTGCTTGGCCGATCGTTTAAAAGACAGATAATGTTGGGGCACCTGGCTGGCTCAGTCCGTAGAGCATGCGACTCTTAATCTCAGGGTTGTAAGTTCGAGCCCCACACTGGGTGTAGCGATTACTTAAAAATAAAATCTTTAGGGGCGCCTGGGTGGCTCAGTCGTTGGGGCGTCTGACTCTCGATCTCAGCTCAGGTCTTGATCTCCAGGGCCACTGAGGTCAGGCCCTGCGTGGGGCTCCACACCACTTAAAAAACAATAATAATAAAGTAAAAATCTTTTTAAAAAGAGACGGATAATGTCAAATGTTGGTTAAAAATGTAAGAAAACAGGTACTCTCATACCCTGTGGGAAGAAGTGTAATGGAGGGTAATTTCTGGCAATATCTATCAGAAGTCAATTGTGCATGTCCTTGAACCCAGCAATTCTACTTCGAGGTAACCATCACAGACAAAAACCGCACAGCTGAGCACGAGGCTGGCACTCCAGCCCTGTTTAAAATGTGGACAAACTGGAAACACCTGAAAGGGCCATCAGTATGAAAATGGTTAAATGGGCCATCTCTAGCTGTGCTTGGAATAGTAGGGGCTGTTACCAAAAAAATGGGGGAACTCTGTATGTCCAGGCAGGGGGAACATTGTGATAAGTTTTTAAGAGAAACAAGCAAATTGCAGAACAATACAGATGACATATATTTCTACGTGTGTGCGCGCGCGTGTTTGTGTGTGTGTGTTCTGAAAGGATGCCAAAGGAAAAACAGGGATTGCCTCTAGAATTGGAGGGAGGGAAGTCAAGAGGAATTTAAATCTATCGCTATTGTTGTTTCAACAATACAAATTATATGAACTATAGCACTTCTATAATTAAAAATAAGAAGAGGTGGAGTGCCTGGGTGGCTCAGTCAGTTAAGCATCCAACTCCAGATTTCAGCTCAGGTCATGATCTTGTGGTCATGAGATGGAACCCCAAGTCCGGCTCCGCACTCAGTGGGGAGTCTGCTTGAGATTCTGTCTCCCTCTCCCTTGGCCCCTACCCCCCACTCTCACTTTATTAGTAAATAAAATCTTTTAAAAAATAAAAATTAAATTAAAAATATGAAGAGGAAATGAAAAAAGAAGAGAAGTGGGGAGGAGAAGAGAGGAGGAAGAGAGGGAGGGTGGGGGAAGTGTGAACATAACGGAAGGGCCAGGGCTGGAAAGCATGTGAAGAATGAGGAGTTTTTCCCCTGGCTTTTCTAATTTTTTTGAAGACAATATAAAAACAAAACAAAACATCAAGTCATCCTCACAGATGCCCAGTGGCCCTTCAGCACGGACAGAAGAGAGAAGGATCATACTCTTCTTCCTCAGTGACATGTTGAAGATCTTTCCTCAGTCCAGTGGACTCTTGCTGGAACCTCAAGAAACCAATGAACTTGGGGCACCTGGGTTGCTCAGTCGCTGAGCGTCTGCCTTCCACTCAGGTCATGATCCCAGGGTCCTGGGATCAAGCCCCGCAACGGGCTCACTGCCCCACGGGAAGCCTGCTTCTCCCTCTCCCACTCCCCCTGCTTGTGTTCCCTCTCTCGCTGTGTCTCTCTGTCAAATAAATAAAATCTTTAAAAACAAAAAAACAAACCACTGAACTCAATCCACCTGGTGGACATGTACTAGGGAGGCAAGGAGGATGGGGCAGGGCCTCCCAGCCTGCAGCAACCCCACACAGCAACCAGAAAGCCCTTGCATCCATGACAACCCTGTCTTACAGTCATCAGCCTCTGCTTGATCACCTCTGGTGATGGGAAGCTCACTTCCTACAATGGGAGCCCTTTTTCTTTTGCAATAGCTCTGACTGTTCAATGCTCCATCTTATACTGAGCCAGAAGTGGCCTCTCAGTAACTTTTATTGCCCAGACATGGTTCTGCTGTCAGTCTCTGGGCTCTCTCCTCTAGATTTCAAGTCTGAAATCTGCCACTTCTTGTGGCACAGTGAGATGTCCCTTCATCATCCCAACTGTTTATTTCTGGACAGGCCCCATGAAACTGGGACTGTGGCTGGGGCTTGTGCATTGCTGCTGGCTGGAGGAAGGCCAGGCAGGGTTCAGAGAACAGAAAGGAGGGAAATTCTGAGCAGTTCCCCAACCCCTAGGACCTGGAAACCACTTGCTCCTCACACTTTGGGGGTGTTTAAACTGTAAACCCAGGCAATCCAGACTCCAGCAAACCCTTGTCCAGCTCTTCACCCATCAGAAATTCCTGCTACTCTCCTGCCCAGAACACAGATCTCAGAAGCCCGGAGGCCTGTTCCAGTTCCAAGCCCTGACTACTGTCCTCTATCTCAGAGCCACATTGTCCCCTGGCTGCAAGGTGGGGCTAATAACAGGGGTACTGCACTTGCCAAGCTGTGTGTGAATCGGATAATGCTGGAGGGTGAGGAGGTCCTTGCATGAAAGGCGCCAAGAAAATTAGCTCAAGATCTGAGCAATTACCACTATGGGCCCCTCTAGAGCTGAGAACTCTCCTAAAAAAACTGTGCCGGATCCAGTGTGGGGTAGGAGAAGGCTTTGAAAGACAAAAATGGCTAGCAGTCACAGATTCAATCTCATGAACCCAAAGGCGACTGTTTAAACCCAAACATTTTTTCTGAATCTATTATGAGTGCAAAGGCAGCTTTGGCCTGAACATATTTGGCTTTCCGAAGCCATGGGGGCCACAGAGCCACACGACACCATCATCTACCTGACGGCTTGTTCACAGAAATCAGGATGGACAGGGAAACACAGATCAAAACCACAATGAGATCCCACCTCCCACCAGTCAGAATGGCTAAAATGAACAAGTCAGGAAACGACAGATGTTGGTGAGGATGCGGAGAAAGGGGGACCCTCCTACGCTGCTGGTGGGAATGCAAGCTGGTGCAGCCACTCCGGAAAACAGTAGGGAGGTTCCTCAAAAAGTTGAAAATAGAGCTACCCTATGACCCAGCAATTGCACTACTGGGTATTTACCCCAAAGATATAAATGTAGTGACCTGAAGGGGTACGTGAACCCCGATGTTTATAGCAGCAATGTCCACAATAGCCAAACTGTGGAAAGAGCCCAGATGTCCATCGATAGATGAATGGATAAAGAAGATGTGGTATATATATACAATGGAATATTATGCAGCCATCAAAAGGAATGAGCTCTTGCCATTTGCAATGACGTGGATGGAACTGGAGGGTATTATGCTAAACAAAATAAGTCAATCAGAGAAAGACAATTATCATATGATCTCACTGAAATGTGGAATTTGAGAAACAAAACAGAGGGTCGTAGGGGAAGAGAGGAAAAAAATTAAACAAGACAAAACCAGAGAGGGAGACAAACCATAAGAGACTCTTGGTCACAGGAAACAAACTGAGGGTTGCTGGAGGGGAGACGGGTAGAGGGATGGGGTAATTGGGTGATGGACATTAAGGAGGGCATGTGATGTAATGAGCACTGGGTGTTACATAAGACTGATGAATTACAGACCTGTACCTCTGAAACCAATAATACATTATATGTTAATTTTTTTAAAAAAAGGAAAAAAAAAATCAGGATGGAGACATCTCCCAGCACAAATGGTCGCTAGTTCCACTCGACAAACGTTAGCCAGGCACCTGCATGGGGCCCTGAGTCAGGAACGACAGATCTGAATGGCCGGGTGCCTGCTGGCAGGGAACACACAGCCCAGTGACTAGGGCAGGAGCATG